GACTTAACAAGCGTCACATTTTCCTCAGTTTGCTTGCAATTTGTAAAGCTATAGGTCCGCAAATTTGCCCTACTCACATCCCTTACAGAATCTTTGAAAAAATTAACACTTCGAGAAGAAGCAATGACAGCGCGGGGATCTCTAACGAGAAAAATGATCTTGCAATCAACTTTGGCTGAACTGCATGACTCTAGAATATGTTTAATGCGTGCTCCTGTGATGCGACTGAGCAGGATTTTTGCCACAGTCATCTTGTAGTTGTCCCGACAAACCTTTCCCAGAGATCCACTTGTCAGTGGAGGACAGAGGCTTGGGTCCCATCTTGAATCGTTAATTTCATATGGGCACAAAGGTGGCGACGCAATTGCGTGGCTAGCACGAGGATGGCTCGGATGACGATAGAAATGTTCCAAATCTTCAACCACTGGCCTGCTAAAATTACACCGGAAAATGCCGTTTAAGACCTCGGACATGAGGCTGCCATAATCAGGATCGTCCGGGGAAGTCTTGCGTTCTTTTTGAAATTGACTAATTCTCTCAACAGTTTGCAGCGGCTCATGCAAATAGAACACAGAAGGATGGTGGTTGAACATGTCTCCAGTTATTGTGGATCCGGAACGCCCATGAGAAACTATTATAATGTTTCTTCGAGTTTGTTTTGAGTTAGCGCCAAGAGAGGACAAATCCAATTCAAAGTCAAGACTTTGTTTGTCCTTATGTTTGACACGTAGGGTTGATGTTATAAGCACGTTTTGACGAACGAACCAAAAAATAAGAAAAAGGATTGTCAACGCAATGATTCTAAAAACGGTTTGTTTCCGAGTGCGCACCGTCATCTTGTTGAGATCGTTTTAGCCAAAGGGACAGTTGACAGAACTGTAACACTTGACCTTAGCCTTCCTTACAAAGCACGAATATAGGTTTCCCGTTGTTAATTGGTCTAAAGAATGCTATTGCCATGGATACCAGATCGACAGTGTTCAAATGTCAGATTTTGTTGATTACTATGAAATCTACTTAAGCCATTCAAAATTTTTACAATAGGCACAGATTTGCACTATATAAAGAGAAGGACCTTAAAGTGATATTTTCTTTACAAAGTGGAGTGTCTACTACCGAAATTTATTTAAGTTATTGACAGTTTTGCTCCGTGTAGGTTAAATTATACACAATCAGACGGAAAACATAATTAAATTTTTTTCAAAATAAGCTTTCTCACTGATTTTAATGATTACACCTTTAAGAAAGATTAATTGCTTCCACTTAGGTGCGAGCGAGGTAACTTACTGGTAAACGCAAAAGTCCTGCCTCAAACTTATCACCTGAGTGATGGTGTTTTCTCCCTGAAATCAGTCTTAAATCAAAGGACACTTATTTTACAACTTGATTAAAGGGAACAGACTACAGACGATTGTTGCTCCTGCAAATATCTAACTGTTGTAACCGTTCATAAGATATCTAAAACGGGCGTAATTCCACAATTGGTTTCTGCTCCAGTATGTCCTATACCCGGGAGGGGGTAGGGGGGGGGGGAATGGGTCCTCGACAATGTTTTATTCGCGGAGGCCCTCTTACCCTTTTACATACCATTTTTGACAGAAAAGGAACCCTTTCGAATACCTTCTATTGACAAACGGTACCCCTTTAATTTTACATAGCGTGTGGCATGAACATTTTGCGGGAGTTTTATTTTGTGGATTGGCGATTTTTTGTGGTTTGCAGGAACAAATTTTTGCGGATCGAGATGACTGAAGTTTCTGGTGGGAACTAATTTTTGCGATTTTCTGTTCACGTAGCAGAATATTTAAGTGGAAGAAACCTTAATACGGTATTTTCAACTTTTATTTTACAATATGTTGAGTCAAAGTTCAATCTACTGACATATTTAATGGAAAATAATACGGTAATCACTGTAATATCTTACTGCACAAAGGGACTGAACAACAGCAAAACAAAACAAAAGCCTATCCCTACCATACACAACAAGTCCATTAAAAGCAGAGTTTTTAATTTGACTGAAGGGAGTTAATTTTTGCGGCGTTTTATCTTGCGGGTTTTTTTTTTCTGCGGGAACTAATTTTTGCGGATCGAGGTCAATCCGAAAAAATTCGCAAAAATTAGAACCCGCAGGTACCTACTAGTTTAGGTAACTTAACTACTGTAAATGCATCGTCTTTAAAATATGAATAAATCACAAAACCAGAAGTTTTCTTGACTTTTTCATGGCCATAAAATGAATCTGTTAGCCCGTTTGGGTCCGCTTTTTACAGACCGAAATGACAGATTTCCCTTCCCTTTCATATACTTGAAGCCTGAAAAAGGTACGGCCCCTTTCGGGCGGAGCCTCCCGGTATAGGCCATCACAGGGAGTACCCCCGGGGGATCATATACCAATTACTCAGATGTATTAATCTAGAGAATCATTTTTGGCCAAACTATTAGTATCTTAGTAACTGACTGTCACCCAAAGCGGAACCGTGCGGGCTTGATTACCTCTCTACAAACAAAATAAACTTTCTGAGAGGCAAAGAGTTAGCAGAATAGCGGGCCCACTTCAGTTCCCAATAGTTGCTTCAGTAAAACCTTTTGATACCAAGTGCTTAAGATTGATCATGTCGTTATATCTTTCATAGACGTCATATCTTTCGCATTCATATCTTTTATTGATCCAACCTGTTTTGTACTGTGATATGTGACTTAGTAACGTAAGAGGCGGACATATTTTGTTAAATGGTGTTTCGATTCACGCAGTCGCAATCCGCACTACACATCGCGCTTTAGGGGATAAGAAAAATAATACATAGTTTATTATTCAGACATAGCTAGGTTTTTCGTTTTCGTTTAAGGTTTGCACGGTTTTGATAGCTGTCATCTTTTTTTAAACAGAGACTTGCATGATTATTTTGGCTGCTAATTATCGAAACTGTCAACATGACTGTGAAGAGAAAAAGCTGGGTATGCCTTACGAATTTATGTTTTGATTTCTAAAGTCGGAGTCGTAATAAGAAGCGTATAACTTTATGATCTAGTGAAAAACAGCATTCTCATTCCGCTGACGTATCCGTCGCTTACGAGCAAGTGAAAACTAGGTTGCCGGAGTCGCGAGCCCCAGCAGAAGAACCAAACGAAGCGACGGAGTCATAAGCTGAGTCGAAAGAAAATGGAAACCAGGGTGTAAGGCCCTGATGGAAACGTTCTGATTCCGTTCGGACTCCGATTCCGTCGAGCTCAAGACGCCGTTCACGACATCACTCCGATTTTTGATTGTCACAAGATCATAAGCGCTCTTACGACTCCGCCTACGATTCCGCCTCCGACTCCGTCGCTGGTGAAAACCAGCCTTAACCTTATGAATGTCGTTGTTGGCATAAGGAACCAAGAGCTAAATCGTCATGAACTAAGCTTCCAGGGCCTGCGTAGGGGGAGGGGCTGGGGAGGGCCAGCCCCCCCCCCGAACTTTTTGAAAAAAGAAATGATAAAATTAAGACATATACATTTTCAATTAAAAGGAATCTTTGATGGAATACGAATATTCGACTGGCGGACCTAGCCGAAGAATCCAAATTTATGGTTAGTCCGTTTCGATCCTATATCATAAGGTGAGCCCAAGAGAGAACGAGGTACCTCCTTCTCTCTTGGTAAGCCTCAAAACGACTATCTTTACAAAACTACACTTAGTCGTAGACTTCTGCGTTTTCACCAGCCAGGTGATGAAGTGTATGCACAAACAATGGAGTCTTTTTTTATCAAGGTTCTTAAATCTCCACGGAGCTACGATTTCTTAAAACAAATTGAACTCGATGACATGGTAGTCAACATCAAGAAGTTTTAGGAATTACCTCAGCAGAGTATGATATTAATAAATGAAATTTTTTCCCGATCTGCAAGTTTCTGATGGTAAATCCCTCAACAATTGCAGCAGGAAAAGGTCCTTTTCGGCAGCTCGTAGGTTAAAAACAAGGCTCCATTTAACAATGACTAAACTAAGAGAAAGGTTCTATTAGTTTTAAGGGACTTGTCAAAAATTAGCAGGGTGGAGGGAGGGTGGAAACAGAGGGAGGGTCACAACTTTTTGAGACTCAGAAAAGGGAGGGGTCATGAAAAATGGGTCATTAAAAGGGGGAGGGTCATGCAAATATATGCACGTGATCATGAATAGGCTCACCCATAGAAGAAAAAGGAAGTTCTTTATTTGGTCAAAAAAGGGGAAAAAAAAGAACTATTAACGAAACATTATGGATATAAACTGTGAAGTGCTATTGCAAGAATTTAACAAACATCCACTTTTCATTTATAACAATGCTGTGGAGATAATGGGCCAATAGGCTTTGTAACAACATGCGATTCTTGGTGAGGTGCAATGGTTTCAATAACTCTTTTGCAGTTAGCTTCCATTCTTGTTGCCCTAGCTTTCTTCGCTTTCCTTTTATTTTGTTTTTGTTTCCTTTTTTTCTTTTTGGCTTGGAATACTGCACCTTAAAGTCGGGAGGGTCATGATATTTTAGGCCAAGCTCAAGGAAATGGTTAGCAAATTTCACTCACATTGCAGGGATGGGTCACCTCATTTCCGAACCCAAATTTAAAATTCCTTCCTCGTTCACCATGATTATATGCTTGAATCTTCAAGGTTGTCAAGCGCCGCGCAAGATGGCGGGTGGAGAGTTAAACGCGTGGAGAGTTTAACAGTTAGCTCTGTTTTTTACTTCTTCCTTTTTTCCTTATTGTTGTATTGTAATTGAATAAGTGTGAATAAATGAACTTGAACTTGAACTTGAACTGGATGTTCTCCCTCAAGGACGTTTTCGTTTGTGTGCCCTCAGTTCCTTAACGATTTTTCCTCTTATTTTGATCTCTACTTCATTACAGAAGAAATCTTAAGTCTAAAATACTGAAGCAGAAGAAGCTTCGCAAAGTTTTCAGCCCTGAGAGAGCTCAAATTTTCGATTTTCCCAAGCTGACCCTTGCCTTTTCTTGGCTCAAGTAGATTGCTGCTAAATAATTCAAAACCACCGCAGAGCTTCATAACTGTCCTCTAACAACTTAACCGCCAGATTTGTCTGTAAATCGTGCGACCCACCAACGGCTTTGTAGCCTAGCACACTCATCACGTGACTGCAATATTTTTCAATGACACTGATGACGTCAGACTCAACTAGCCAGCGCCATCTTTCCGCTCCTTCCCATGAGTCCTGTCGCCAGCGGGCAACGTTTCTTTCACTCTCAGTTTCAGGACGATGAGAAGCGAGATCCAGCCATTTTCTCAAATTTTTGTCGTCGGGGAGCCCGGCAAATTTCAATAAACTTGGCAAAGTCTTAAGCGGATCTTTTGCCAGATCTTCATAACGTAACAACATAAAACGCTTTTTTTCATCTGAGGACATAGATCGAAACAAATTTAAATTGATTTCTGTCGCGCTGCATATTTTTTTAGACCACTCATGTGTCCCGAGCAGGGAATCGTCGTCGTCTTTAAAAAATCCAAAGGCCTTCGAAGAGGGAATTATGCCACGCGGATCGCGAACCAGGAAGAGAAACTTGCAGTTTATCCGGTCATTGTCACAAACTGACAGCAACTGCTTTACGTTTTCGTTAGGCATCCTGCCTATCAGCGGCTTTAGCACTGTTATGTTGTATTTAGATTTACAAGTCGCTTCCAAGGTTTCTTTATCCATTGGTGGACAGCTTTCAGCAGACCATGATGAATGCGTCGTGTTGTAAGGGCAGAACGGTGGCGAAAGAAGCGAGATACTTTTTATAGGATTGTAGTTCTTTCTGTACCTTCTCCGGTAATATCTTTCCAGATCTTGCACGTGTTTAGTAGACACGAAATCGCATTGAAGTATTCCTTTCATCCATTCAAAGGCTTTCCCTGATAATCTCGATCGCCAGTTGCTACTGCTCCATGAAGTCGCTCCACCGTTTGATAAGGCTCGAACAAATAAAACACGTTTGGATGGTGATTAAAGATGTTTCCAATGAAAGTGGACCCTGAACGGCCGTGTGTCACAATAATTAGGTTTTCTCTTTTCTTTTTGCTTTCCCGGCCCACATCCAAATGTTCTTCTTTGTCGGGTTTTCGAGGTGCTTCAAAATCTTTAAAATTTTCATCGTATTTTTGTCTCACGCGAACGGAATCGTCATCTTCCCTAAGAATGAATACACCGCCCAACGACAGAGCAAACAGGACAATGAAAATTGGTCGAAAGCTGAACCGGCAAAGAATCCTTCGGAGCAACATAAATTAACCCTTCAAAAATATATGATACAACTACTCTTAATGATTAACTCAAACAGCTTCCAAGAACTCGTCTCAGTATCAAGTTTTTAAGCTCCTGTAATCCACACCAAAACTGAAGAAGAAAATTTGATATCAGAAATTCCTTACACTGTCTTATTGATTCTATGACCACGTTCTGACAGCCTTGGGGAAACCGCCATTTGCTAATTGAATCCCGATTCGAGATCAAACAATTTTATATTCTTCAAACAAAAAGGAAGAAACCTGTTTCGTTTGCTAGACTAGTAGGCCTCACTACTCTTTGTTTAGAATCACTTGTCTTTATTTGCTTTACGAGTGGCTAAAAGTTTACACAACTACTACAGTAAAAGCTGCAAATTCACAACGCTGATTAAGATTCTTTAGGAACATTTCATGAAAACCGTGGAGCTTTGAATTTTAAATAATTTCCTAAGAGACAGCAAGGGGCAAATGGAAGATTAGATTTCATAACAAAGTTTTTTCAAGCACACGGTGCCTTTACGCTGTACATTCTTCTGGGCCGTTTTCGTTGAACAAAGAAAAGAGACATTGAAGGTTTAGTACCACAGGTTTTTTTCTCACGTGCGCGAGAAGCTTTTTCGTGCTCATAAATTTTTAACTCGTATCTAATGACCCGGCTTTTTGGATATTGACCATGTTCCTTTGTTTTTGCCAATATCCAGCCATTTTGACTGAATATGCTGGGTCAATAAAGGATTTTTGATGAAATGATCAAGAGAAATTGCGGGAACAAAGCGGGAAATCCCGTGCCCGTTCGGGTTCCCATGCAGAAAATGGAATCCGTTTCGTCTTGCTCGCTCGCGGAACAGGCCATATAATAAAATCCTTTAGTTATAACACGACAAATGGACAAAAGTGGTAATTTTTTGTTTGGCGATTACAGACTATGAAAGCATAGTACGTGCTTTCTCTGTTTGGAGAACTAGTCCTATCCAGTCCAGAACCCCTCCTCGCCCCCCCCCCAAAAAGACAAAACAAAACAAAAACAAAAACAAAAAAATTATCCCCGTAAAAAAAAGGACGGTCCAGTCCAGTCCAGAGTCCAGACCAGAGTTCAGTCCTGGTTTTTCCAACTGGCCTTATAAAACTTGGGCAAGGGTGCATATGATAATTTGTCAACATAAAATTCCTTACAAATACTCAATAATGAGCTTCTTTTCATTGAGAACTCTTTTCGCGCCCGGGTGAAGTTATGTTAACAAATGGCGCCGACAGTATTTATTCAAACACTTAGAAGTTTTTAGTACACGTTCAAATAGATTTTGTTATCAACATCACAGTGATAATATCTGAGTTTAAACACTGAATCAGTAGTGAAAGTAATAACCTTATAACCCGGAAGTGGCAGTTATGGACAGCTGTTTCGTCCTCATTAGGACCTCATCAGCATGGCATAGCCCCACTGCCCAATAGATTGCGTAAGCACTGGGATCGAGATTGCCTCACTGCCGGGATGATATGGTTGTGCGCATGTGTAAGGTACTGACCATACCGCGCAGTTAAACCGCGCAGTAAACCGCGGTTTACTCCGCGGAGTTGGTACGTATACTTTAGCGCGATCGCAAGCACCCTGACGCACGCAAAGAAAATAATTAACCTCTGGTTGGAGCCCATGATGCTTCGTGAGCTCCTGCCTCGAGCTCTGGTACCCAGGATGAAGTTGTCGTCCAGTTCAATGATCGGAATTTCTATAATCCCATTTGCACTAGGCCTACGTCGCAATAGCCTGTGTACAGACCCCCCCCCCCCACCCCTCAGTAAAAATTGGAGAATTCTCCGGTTCTTTCTGAGGGGAGGGGAGGGGGTCTGTACACAGGCTGGGGTCGCAAACTTAGTCTGACCCCGGTTAGCAACGTCTACGAAGCAGCAGCGCCGATTCCCTTGCTCTAGGCCCTCAACGAATTACCGGAGAGGCGTGTCGAAATTCAACTTCAACCTTATTGGAAAGTTGACAATTGCTTTTTTAACAAGCCAATAACAGTGCGTACTCAAATCCAGGTGGGAGCCAAGAAAAAGGATATCAAAATGAATTATTTCATATATACTTCACATCAAAAAGGATATCGGCGCTGGCTCGCAGACGGAGGTTAGTTCCGTCTGTTACGCAGGCTACTTCGCACAATACTTTGCACAAGGGGTGGTCTTCGATATAGTGCTTCGTATCCTAACTTCGATGTGTAAGACGCTCTCTCCCCCCACCCCATTCCCCTTCTGAAAAGGAAAAAAAATCTCCAAAGGAGGTAGGTCTAGAAAGTTCTCTAGGTAATTGACCAACTTTCAAGTCAGTAAGCTATCCAGGAAGAGGCTTATTTTGAATGAGTTTTGTTTAGTGTCATTGCTTTTAAAACTATTGCCATGGAAACATGATTTGTGTTAATTCTAAGACCAACAGATCAGTATTTTGACAATCTTGACGAAAGTCAGTTCCTTTTAATGAATTTTTTTTTGGTAAAATGGAAAAAATTAGATCCCGTGAAATATGCTCGAGTCTTTTTTCGCAAAATCCCACCAACGTAGTAAGTATTCCTCAGTATCAGAAGTAACAATATACAGCAGATCAGGCGTTTCATGGCGAAGGGAAAGGGCGGAAAATTAAAGGGCGAGAGTGCCATGCAGGCTGTCCCAGAAAGTGCAGCCCATCATCAAGCCCGCTGTCTAATCCTGTAATCTGCGTCTGGGAAGAGTTTTAAATAAAAAGCGACAACACTTTTTTGGTGCCTCTCAACCTTGATGCATTTCTCACACGGTAAAAGGCTTGATTGGTGTGTATCATTTTTTGGCTTTTAATCACTCAAATTTCTGGTTGGAAGATTGATTCTAAAAGCCGATTTTCCAGGCCATGGAAACTGGGTCGTAGAAGGGTAAAATAAGGCCAAGTACTCAGTAAAATTTTTCAGAATTTATATTACCCATTCCCAGCTTTTGTAATACAGTCCCAATTATCATAATAATCAAAGGTTTATTACTCCCTTATCGAAAATTTCTCTATCCAAATTGTTTTTGAAGAAAGTCCTGACTTTGACTTTGTTCATGTCGGAGAAAAATTAAAATGCAAAAAGTAAAAACGACACTTCTACATTAAGGAGGCATTATCAACAAAACACAAAGAATACTTTCCCACGGCACTCTTAGAAGAAAGAGTTGAGCCCTGCAAATTTTAATTACTTGCGATAGACTCAGTTTTCTTTCTCTGGCGTTTCTCCGTTCATAACTCTCTTTCTAGGTTTTTTAAAAGCTCATCAAAGTCAATTTATAAAAAATTCGACCGCGCTGCTCTATCTTTTGTTGTCGTTTCAACACGACCCATCGCTATGTTTGTTTGCTTAGTGACCGTGAAACAAGCATCTCTTCCAATCGTGTTTACTCGTGTTTAATGTATTTCTTCGGCTTTGTTTAATCTGCAACAATGGCGAGTTATGGAATAATTGTGATCCGTATACGTTGCAGTGACAGACTGTTATGAAGGAGGCAATTGTGTGTAAATTTTAACCTCAGTCAGATAATGTATTTCTAGCTATCTGAGTAGTTCACTAAATCTCTGTGACCATGCCAGACAGTGTACATTGGCACTAGCCAAGTTTGACGCTGTCCCAGTGGAAAATGATCGCGCAGGTGTCGTTAAGGCTTAATTTCATTTTACGGAATCATAAAGAAAAGAGGCGATTTCCTGAAATATTTGGCTCGAAGAAACTTGAATTCCAGCTTGTCCTTTGGGTAAGCAGCTCTCGCAATTTGCTTGCTCGGGACCACTCCTTGCTCAGCTTAGTTCACGATTTCTTCAGAGGATGACTTGCCCGGCCCCTTGCAGTTACTTGCCGCGCAAGAAAATCTTCTTGTCCCGGACTACAGGTCGACTTTTTTTCGAGCATTGCTATTTTGAAGCGAATTATAAAGCGAAAGTTTTTCCCTCGTAAAATTCCACCGGAAAAAGGAGATTTGGTGCAGCTACATAAGCAATGACAGTGAGAAAGAAAAAAAGCCACAAAATCTGGTATGAGATTTTTCATATTTTCTTCACCCAAACATTGCAACCATTCCGCTCAGTGAATAAGGGTCTGATAAGTACTACCAAAAGGGTTAGTTGTACAACGTACTCCGCAGTAATTATGGTTTTTTCGCTTCTTATAAAACTTAGCAATTACCTTTTTAATTCCTTCCTCGAACCCCTGAAAAATGCGGCACCATGCTTTTTTATTTCAGAAAGTAGCTCTCTTAGTTCTTTTAAAATTTTTTCAATTTATGTCATCTTTACCCTCCCAATTTCTCGAGTGAGGTTTCACCACCATATAATTGAAGGAAAACTCTTATTCCAATGAGGAATCTATTCACCATATTAAATCCAATTAGAACCACCCTTTTACTTGGTAATCTTTCTTAAACAAAGGGATACTGATATTAGACAACAGCTCATGAGACCGATCCACAGGCCTGTAGCCCATTATCTGCATTAAATCCTTGCAATAACGTTCCATGATGTCAATGTCAATGAGCGGAACTTTCCAACGCCATCGATTCACAGCCACAGTGGATTCGTCAACGGTGCAGAAGGCCGGATGGTATCCTCTGCATGCCGACCTTAGTTCTTCGTGATCACTGCTTGGATGAGTCGTTTTATCCAACCAGGTTTTCACGTCCTCTGGGACTAACAGCCCTGCGAAATCGAAAAGGCGTGACAGCCCTGTTAGAGGATCCATTGCAAAGTCTTCGTATCGTTGAATCATTACACGCTTTCGCCAGCGAAAGGAAAGAGACTTAACAAGCGCCAAATTTTCCTCAGTTTGCTTGCAATTTGTAAAGCTATAGGTCCGCAAATTTGCCCTACTCACATCCCTTACGGAATCTTTGAAAAAATTAACACTTCGAGAAGAAGCAATGACAGCGCGGGGATCTCTAACGAGAAAAATGATCTTGCAATCAACTTTGGCTGAACTGCATGACTCTAGAATATGTTTAATGCTTGCTCCTGTGATGCGACTGAGCAGGATTTTTGCCACAGTCATCTTGTAGTTGTCCCGACAAACCTTTCCCAGAGATCCACTTGTCAGTGGAGGACAGAGGCTTGGGTCCCATCTTGAATCGTTAATTTCATATGGGCACAAAGGTGGCGACGCAATTGCGTGGCTAGCACGAGGATGGCTCGGATGACGATAGAAATGTTCCAAATCTTCAACCACTGGCCTGCTAAAATTACACCGGAAAATGCCGTTTAAGACCTCGGACATGAGGCTGCCATAATCAGGATCGTCCGGGGAAGTCTTGCGTTCTTTTGAAATTGACTAATTCTCTCAACAGTTTGCAGCGGCTCATGCAAATAGAACACAGAAGGATGGTGGTTGAACATGTCTCCAGTTATTGTGGATCCGGAACGCCCATGAGAAACTATTATAATGTTTCTTCGAGTTTGTTTTGAGTTAGCGCCAAGAGAGGACAAATCCAATTCAAAGTCAAGACTTTGTTTGTCCTTATGTTTGACACGTAGGGTTGATGTTATAAGCACGTTTTGACGAACGAACCAAAAAATAAGAAAAAGGATTGTCAACGCAATGATTCTAAAAACGGTTTGTTTCCGAGTGCGCACCGTCATCTTGTTGAGATCGTTTTAGCCAAAGGGCAGTCGACAGAACTGTAACACTTGACCTTAGCCTTCCTTACAAAGCACGAATATAGGTTTCCCGTTGTTAATTGGTCTAAAGAATGCTATTGCCATGGATACCAGATCGACAGTGTTCAAATGTCAGATTTTGTTGATTACTATGAAATCTACTTAAGCCATTCAAAATTTTTACAATAGGCACAGATTTGCACTATATAAAGAGAAGGACCTTAAAGTGATATTTTCTTTACAAAGTGGAGTGTCTACTACCGAAATTTATTTAAGTTATTGACAGTTTTGCTCCGTGTAGGTTAAATTATACACAATCAGACGGAAAACATAATTAAATTTTTTTTCAAAATAAGCTTTTTCTCACTGATTTTAATGATTACACCTTTAAGAAAGATTAATTGCTTCCACTTAGGTGCGAGCGAGGTAACTTACTGGTAAACGCAAAAGTCCTGCCTCAAACTTATCACCCGAGTGATGGTGTTTTCTCCCTGAAATCAGTCTTAAATCAAAGGACACTTATTTTACAACTTGATTAAAGGGAACAGACTACAGACGATTGTTGCTCCTGCAAATATCTAACTGTTGTAACCGTTCATAAGATATCTAAAACGGGCGTAATTCCACAATTGGTTTCTGCTCCAGTATGTCCTATACCCGGGGGGGGGTAGGGGGGGGGGGAATGGGTCCTCGACAATGTTTTATTCGCGGAGGCCCTCTTACCCTTTTACATACCATTTTTGACAGAAAAGGAACCCTTTCGAATACCTTCTATTGACAAACGGTACCCCTTTAATTTTACATACCGTGTAGCATGAACATTTTGCGGGAGTTTTATTTTGCGGATTGGCGATTTTTTGTGGTTTGCAGGAACAAATTTTTGCGGATCGAGATGACTGAAGTTTCTGGTGGGAACTAATTTTTGCGATTTTCTGTTCACGTAGCAGAATATTTAAGTGGAAGAAACCTTAATACGGTATTTTCAACTTTTATTTTACAATATGTTGAGTCAAAGTTCAATCTACTGACATATTTAATGGAAAATAATACGGTAATTACTGTAATATCTTACTGCACAAAGGGACTGAACAACAGCAAAACAAAACAAAAGCCTATCCCTACCATACACAATAAGTCCATTAAAAGCAGAGTTTTTAATTTGACTGAAGGGAGTTAATTTTGCGGCGTTTTATCTTGCGTTTTTTTTTTTTCGGGAACTAATTTTTGCGGATCGAGGTCAATCCGAAAAAATTCGCAAAAATTAGAACCCGCAGGTACCTACTAGTTTAGGTAACTTAACTACTGTAAATGCATCGTCTTTAAAATATGAATAAATCACAAAACCAGAAGTTTTCTTGACTTTTCATGGCCATAAAATGAATCTGTTAGCCCGTTTGGGTCCGCTTTTACAGACCGAAATGACAGATTTCCCTTCCCTTTCATATACTTGAAGCCTGAAAAAGGTACGGCCCCTTTCGGGCGGAGCCTCCCGGTATAGGCCATCACAGGGGAGTACCCCGGGGATCATATACCAATTACTCAGATGTATTAATCTAGAGAATCATTTTTGGCCAAACTATTAGTATCTTAGTGACTGACTGTCACCCAAAGCGGAACCGTGCGGGCTTGATTACCTCTCTACAAACAAAATAAACTTTCTGAGAGGCAAAGAGTTAGCAGAATAGCGGGCCCACTTCAGTTCCCAATAGTTGCTTCAGTAAAACCTTTTGATACCAAGTGCTTAAGATTGATCATGCCGTTATATCTTTCATAGACGTCATATCTTTCGCATTCATATCTTTTATTGATCCAACCTGTTTTGTACTGTGATATGTGACTTAGTAACGTAAGAGGCGGACATATTTTGTTAAATGGTGTTTCGATTCACACAGTCGCAATCTGCACTACACATCGCCCTTTAGGGGATAAGAAAAATAATACATAGTTTATTATTCAGACATAGCTAGGTTTTTCGTTTTCGTTTAAGGTTTGCACGGTTTTGATAGCTGTCATCTTTTTCTAAACAGAGACTTGCATGATCATTTTGGCTGCTAATTATCGAAACTGTCAACATGACTGTGAAGAGAAAAAGCTGGGTATGCCTTACGAATTTATGCTTTGATTTCTAAAGTTGGGGTCGAAATAAGAAGCGCAGAACTTTACGATCTAGTGAAAACAGCGTTCTGATTCCGCTGACGTGTCCGTCGTTTACGATCAAGTGAAAACTAGGTTGTCGGAGTCGCTAGCCCAAGCAGAAGAACCAAACCAATCACAAAGCGTGGAAACGACAACGACTCCGACAACGAAGCGACGGAGTCATAAGCTGAGTCGGAAGAAAATGGAAACCAGAGCGTAAGGCCCTGATGGAAACGTTCTGATTCCGTTCTGACTCCGATTCCGTCGAGCTCAAGACGCCGCTCACGACATCACTCCGATTTTTGATTGTCACAAGGTAATAAGCGCTCCTACGAACTCCGCCTACTATTCCGACTACGACTCCGTCGCTGGTGAAAACCAGCCTTAACCTTATGAATTTCTTTGTTGGCATAAGGAACCAAGAGCTAAATCGTCATGAACTAAGCTTACAAGGCCTGCGTAGGGGGAGGGGCTGGGGGGACCAGGGCCCCCCAAACTTTTTGAAAAAACAAATAATAATATTAAGAAGTATCATATTTCATAATTTTATTATTTCTTTTTTCAAAAAGTTGATGGAATACGAATATTCGACTGGCGGACCTAGCAGGAGCATCCAAATTTATGATTGGTCCGTTTCGATCCTATATCATAAGATGACCCCAAGAGAGAATGAGGTACCTTATTCTCTCTTGGTAAGCCTCAAAACGACTATCTTTACAAAACTGCACTTAGTCGTAGACTTCTGCGTTTTCACCAGCCAGATGATGTAGTGTATGCACAAACAATGAAGTCTTTTTTGTCAAGGTTCTTGATGACATGGTAGTTAACATGAGGAAGTTTTAGGAATTACCTCAGCAGAAGATGATATTGATAAATGAAATTTTTTCCCGATCTGCAAGCTTCTGATGGTAAATCCTGCAACCATCGCAGCAGGAAAAGGTCCTTTTCGGCAGCTCGTAGGTTAAAAACAAGGCTCCATTTAACAATGACTAAAGAAAGGTTCTAAACAGCCGCAAGGAGAGAACGGACAAACTTATAAAGCAAATGAAGTACGCGAAAATCATGATGCTGCTGTGCATGGTTACAATTTTTTTGTTACTAACTCCTTTCTTGTTTGTTAAACTATTTTAAAAAAAATGATTGATGCCGAGTTGAAACTGTAATAAAAAATATTGAGTCGACAACGGGTCAACCATTTTTAAAGTCCACAACCCCACAACCTCCCTCCCCCAATTACACTTCAAAAAAGAGGTGGATCAGCCCCCGCACTTGAAAACTGCTCCGCGAGCCCTGGCTTAAAGTGAAAAGACCAACTACTTGCGTACGCATTGAGTAACTTCGATTTGACATTATAAATGTAACTTATTTGTTCTTATGGACGATAGTTCACAGATAGGCAATTCGCTTCAAGACACATTCTTAATGGACCAGGCCGCGGTTGGTTCAAACGTTGGATAGCGCTATCCATAGGACAAAAATCTATCCAATGGATCGCGCAATTAGTTTCCCTAATACTTATCCGCTGGATAGTGATTTATCCGGTGAATTGCGCTCTCCAACGTTTGACCAACCGGGGCCAGAAATTAAAGTTAACTTACTCTAAAATAAAACACGGATCATGCACTTTCTTTAATCATTTTAATTAACTGCTCTAATTTTGTTGAGATGGATCGTTCGCCATGTTTATATGCTTGATGTTCTCCCTCAAGGACGTTTTCGTTTGTGTGCCCTCAGTTCCTTAACGATTTTTCCTCTTATTTTGATCTCTACTTCATTACAGAAGAAATCTTAAGTCTGATATACTGAAGCAGAAGAAGTTTCGCAAAGTTTTCAGCCCTGAGAGAGCTCCAATTTTCGATTTTCCCAAGCTGACCCTTGCCTTTCCTTGGCTCAAGCTAATGAATTGTAGATTGCTGCTAAATAATTCAAAACCACCGCAGAGCTTCATAACTGTCCTCTAACAACTTAACTGTCAGATTTTTCTGTAAATCGTGCGACCCACCAACGGCTTTGTAGCCCAGCACACTCATCACGTGACTGCAATATTTTTCAATGACACTGATGACGTCAGACGCAACTAGCCAGCGCCATCTTTCCGCTCCTTCCCATGAGTCCTGTCGCCAGGCTGCAGCTTTTCTTTCACTCTCAGTTTCAGGACGATGAGAAGCGAGATCCAGCCATTTTCTCAAATTTTTGTCGTCGGGGAGCCCGGCAAATTTCAATAAACTTGGCAAAGTCTTAAGCGGATCTTTTGCCAGATCTTCATAACGTAACAACATAAAACGCTTTTTTTCATCTGAGGACATAGATCGAAAGAAATTCAAATTGATTTCTGTCGCGCTGCATATTTTTTTAGACCACTCATGTGTCCCGAGCAGGGAATCGTCGTCGTCTTTAAAAAACCCAAAGGCCCTCGAAGAGGGAATTATGCCACGCGGATCGCGAACCAGGAAGAGAAACTTGCAGTTTATCCGGTCATTGTCACAAACTGACAGCAACTGCTTTACGTTTTCGTTAGGCATCCTGCCTATCAGCGGCTTTAGCACTGTTATGTTGTATTTAGATTTACAAGTCGCTTCCAAGGTTTCTTTATCCATTGGTGGACAGCTTTCAGCAGACCATGATGAATGCGTCGTGTTGTAAGGGCAGAACGGTGGCGAAAGAAGCGAGATACTTTTTATAGGATTGTAGTTCTTTCTGTACCTTCTCCGGTAATATCTTTCCAGATCTTGCACGTGTTTAGTAGACACGAAATCGCATTGAAGTATTCCTTTCATCCATTCAAAGGCTTCCCCCTGATAATCTCGATCGCCAGTTGCTACTGCTCCATGAAGTCGCTCCACCGTTTGATAAGGCTCGAACAAATAAAACACGTTTGGATGGTGATTAAAGATGTTTCCAATGAAAGTGGACCCTGAACGGCCGTGTGTCACAATAATTAGGTTTTCTCTTTTCTTTTTGCTTTCCCGGCCCACATCCAAATGTTCTTCTTTGTCGGGTTTTCGAGGTGCTTCAAAATCTTTAAAATTTTCATTGTATTTTTGGCTCACGCTAACTGAATCATCATATTCCTTAAGAATGAATACACCGCCCAACGACAGAGCCAACAGGACAATGAAAATTGGTCGAAAGCTGAACCGGCAAAGAATCCTTCGGTGCAACATAGATTAACCCAACAAAAATATATGATACAACTACTCTTAATGATTAACTCAAACAGCTTCCAAGAACTCGTCTCAGTATTAGGTTTTTAAGAGCTCCTGTAATCCAAACCAAAACTAGCTCAAAACTGAAGAAGAAAATTTGATATCAGAAAATCCTTACAGTGTCTTATTGATTCTATGACCACGTTCTGACAGCCTTGGGGGAACCGCCATTTGCTAATTGAATCCCGATTCAAGATCAAGCAATCTTATATTCTTCTAACAAAAAGGAAGAAACCTGTTTCGTTTGCTAGACTAGTAGGCCTCACTACTCTTTGTTTAGAATCACTTGTCTTTATTTGCTTTACGAGTTGCTAAAAGTTTACACAACTACCACGGTAAAAGCTGCAAATTTACAACGCTGATTAAGATTCTTTAGGAACATTTCATGAAAACCGTGGAGCTTTGAATTTTAAATAATTTACTAGGAGACAGTAATAAAATAAAAGAAATGGTATGATGGAATACGAATATTCGACTTGCGGACCCAGCAGAAGCATCCAAATTTATGATTGGTCCGTTTCGATCCTATATCATAAGGTGACCCCAAGAGAGAATGAGGTACCTTATTCTCTCTTGGTAAGCCTCAAAACGACTATCTTTACAAAACTGCACTTAGTCGTAGACTTCTGCGTTTTCACCAGCCAGGTGATGTAGTGTATGCACAAACAATAGAGTCTTTTTTTATCAAGGTTCTTAAATCTCCACGGAGCTACGATTTCTTAAAACGAAAATTGAACTCGATGACATGGTAGTCAACATGAAGAAGTTTTAGGAATTACCTCAGCAGAGTATGATATTAATAAATGAAATTTTTTCCCGATCTGCAAGTTTCTGATGGTAAATCCTGCAACCATCGCAGCAGGAAAAGGTCCTTTTCGGCAGCTCGTAGGTTAAAAACAAGGCTCCATTTAACAATGACTAAAGAAAGGTTCTATTAGTTTTAAGGGACTTGTCAGAAATTAGCAGGGGGGGAAGGAGGGTGGAAACAGAGGGAGGGTCACAACTTTTTGAGACTCTGAAAAGGGAGGGGTCATGAAAAATGGGTCATTAAAAGGGGGAGGGTCATGCAAATATATGCCCGTGATCATGAATAGGCTCACCCATAGAAGAAAAAGGAAGTTCTTTATTTGGTAAAAAAAAAAGGGGAAAAAAAAAAACAACGAAACATTATGGATATAAACTGTGAAGTACTATTGCACGAATTTAAAAAACATCCACTTTTCATTTATAACAATGCTGTGGAGATAATGGGCCAATAGGCTTTGTAACTGATCATTCGATTCTTGGTGAGGTGCAATGGTTTCAATGACTCTTTTGCAGTTAGCTTCCATTCTTGCTGCCCTAGCTTTCTTCGCTTTCCTTTCCTTTTGTTTTTGTTTACTTTTTTTCATTTTGGCTTGGAATACTGCACCTTAAACAGCCTGGAACATTTTTCTTTCAATAGACCTTTTTACCGATACGGCGGCCATATTGAATTAATTCGATTTAAGGAGTATTATAGGATGCCCAGGGGCATGAGCACATTTCGTTTGTATTTTCGAGCGCTTTCCGGGACATTTTTTCTTAAAGTTTTCTAAGAATAAGATTGTAATGGGAAAAAAGATCCTTGTGCCGTGTTTGGATGTAATAATGATCGCCTTTTTCCCGAGAAATATGCAGTGGAATACCATGTTTCTAATACTAAACTAGAAAAAGGCGATCATTATTACATCCATTCACGGCATAAGGATCCGTTTTCCCATTACAATCTTATTCTAAGAAAACTTTAAGAAAAAATGTCGCGAAAAGATCTCGAAAATACAAACGAAATGTGCTCATGCCCCCTGGGCATCCTATAATACGCCTTAAATCGAATTAATTCAATATGGCCGCCGTATCGGTAAAAACGTCTATTCTGTAAAGTGGGGAGGGTCATGATATTTTAGGCCAACCTCAAGGAAAGGGTTAGCAAATTTCACTCACATTGCAGGGATGGGTCACCTCATTTCCGAACCCAAATTTAAAATTCCTACCCCCCCTCCCCCCCCTGCTAATTTCTGACAAGTCCCAAAACAACCGCAAGGAGAGATCGGACAAACTTTTGAAGTAGATGAAGTACGCGAAAATCGTGATGCTGCTGTGCATGGTTACAATTTTTTTGTTACTAACTCCCTTCTCGTTTGTTAAACTATTTTAAAAAAAATGATTGATGCCGACTTGTAACTGTATTAAAAAATATTGAGTCGACAACGGGTCAACCATTTTTAAAGTCCACAACCCCACAACCTCCCTCCCCCAATTACACTTCAAAAAAGAGGTGGATCAGCCCCCGCACTTTGAAAACTGCTCGGCGAGCCCTGGCTTAAAGTGAAAAGACCAACTACTTGCGTAAGCATTGAGTAACTTCGATTTGACATTATAAATGTAACTTATTTGTTCTTATGGACGATAGTTCACAGATAGGCAATTCGCTTCAAGACACATTGTTAATGGACCGGGCCGCTGTTGGTTCAAACGTTGGATAGCGCTATCCACAGGATAAAAATCTATCCAATGGATAGCGCAATTGGTTTCCCTAATACTTATCCGCTGGATAGTGATTTATCCGGTGGATAGCGCTATCCAACGTTTGAACAACCGGGGCCAGAAATTAAAGTTAACTTACACTAACATAAAACGAGAACCATGTACTTTCTTTAATCACTTTAATTAACTGCTCTAATTTTGTTGAGATGGATCGTTCACCATGTTTATATGCTTGATGTTCTCCCTCAAGGACGTTTTCGTTTGTGTGCCCTCAGTTCCTTAACGATTTTTCCTCTTATTTTGATCTCTACTTCATTACAGAAGAAATCTTAAGTCTAAAATACTGAAGCAGAAGAAGCTTCGCAAAGTTTTCAGCTCTGAGAGAGCTCAAATTTTCGATTTTCCCAAGCTGACCATTGCCTTTTCTTGGCTCAAGTAGATTGCTGCTAAATAATTCAAAACCACCGCAGAGCTTCATAACTGTCCTCTAACAACTTAACCGCCAGATTTGTCTGTAAATAGTGCGACCCACCAACGGCTTTGTAGCCTAGCACACTCATCACGTGACTGCAATATTTTTCAATGACACTGATGACGTCAGACTCAACTAGCCAGCGCCATCTTTCCGCTCCTTCCCATGAGTCCTGTCGCCAGGCTGCAGCTTTTCTTTCACTCTCAGTTTCAGGACGATGAGAAGCGAGATCCAGCCATTTTCTCAAATTTTTGTCGTCGGGGAGCCCGGCAAATTTCAATAAACTTGGCAAAGTCTTAAGCGGATCTTTTGCCAGATCTTCATAACGTAACAACATAAAACGCTTTTTTTCATCTGAGGACATAGATCGAAACAAATTCAAATTGATTTCTGTCGCGCTGCATATTTTTTTAGACCACTCATGTGTCCCGAGCAGGGAATCGTCGTCGTCTTTAAAAAATCCAAAGGCCTTCGAAGAGGGAATTATGCCACGTGGATCGCGAACCAGGAAGAGAAACTTGCAGTTTATCCGGTCATTGTCACAAACTGACAGCAACTGCTTTACGTTTTCGTTAGGCATCCTGCCTATCAGCGGCTTTAGCACTGTTATGTTGTATTTAGATTTACAAGTCGCTTCCAAGGTTTCTTTATCCATTGGTGGACAGCTTTCAGCAGACCATGATGAATGCGTCGTGTTGTAAGGGCAGAACGGTGGCGAAAGAAGCGAGATACTTTTTATAGGATTGTAGTTCTTTCTGTACCTTCTCCGGTAATATCTTTCCAGATCTTGCACGTGTTTAGTAGACACGAAATCGCATTGAAGTATTCCTTTCATCCATTCAAAGGCTTTCCCCTGATAATCTCGATCGCCAGTTGCTACTGCTCCATGAAGTCGCTCCACCGTTTGATAAGGCTCGAACAAATAAAACACGTTTGGATGGTGATTAAAGATGTTTCCAATGAAAGTGGACCCTGAACGGCCGTGTGTCACAATAATTAGGTTTTCTCTTTTCTTTTTGCTTTCCCGGCCCACATCCAAATGTTCTTCTTTGTCGGGTTTTCGAGGTGCTTCAAAATCTTTAAAATTTTCATCGTATTTTTGTCTCACGCGAACGGAATCGTCATCTTCCCTAAGAATGAATACACCGCCCAACGACAGAGCAAACAGGACAATGAAAATTGGTCGAAAGCTGAACCGGCAAAGAATCCTTCGGAGCAACATAAATTAACCCTTCAAAAATATATGATACAACTACTCTTAATGATTAACTCAAACAGCTTCCAAGAACTCGTCTCAGTATCAAGTTTTTAAGCTCCTGTAATCCACACCAAAACTGAAGAAGAAAATTTGATATCAGAAATTCCTTACACTGTCTTATTGATTCTATGACCACGTTCTGACAGCCTTGAGGGAACCGCCATTTGCTAATTGAATCCCGATTCGAGATCAAACAATTTTATATTCTTCAAACAAAAAGGAAGAAACGTAACCTGTTTCGTTTGCTAGACTAGTAGGCCTCACTACTCTTTGTTTAGAATCACTTGTCTTTATTTGCTTTACGAGTGGCTAAAAGTTTACACAACTACTACAGTAAAAGCTGCAAATTCACAACGCTGATTAAGATTCTTTAGGAACATTTCATGAAAACCGTGGAGCTTTGAATTTTAAATAATTTCCTAAGAGACAGCAAGGGGCAAATGGAAGATTAGATTTCATAACAAAGTTTTTTCAAGCACACGGTGCCTTTACGCTGTACATTCTTCTGGGCCGTTTTCGTTGAACAAAGAAAAGAGACATTGAAGGTTTAGTACCACAGGTTTTTTTCTCACGTGCGCGAGAAGCTTTTTCGTGCTCATAAATTTTTAACTCGTATCTAATGACCCGGCTTTTTGGATATTGACCATGTTCCTTTGTTTTTGCCAATATCCAGCCATTTTGACTGAATATGCTGGGTCAATAAAGGATTTTTGATGAAATGATCAAGAGAAATTGCGGGAACAAAGCGGGAAATCCCGTGCCCGTTTGGGTTCCCATGCAGGACATGGAATCCGTTTCGTCTTGCTCGCTCGCGGAACAGGCCATATAATAAAATCCTTTAGTTATAACATGACAAATGGACAAAAGTGGTAATTTTTTGTTTGGCGATTACAGACTATGAAAGCATAGTACGTGCTTTCTCTGTTTGGAGAACTAGTCCTATCCAGTCCAGAACCCCCTCCTCGCTCCCCCCCCCTCCCCAAAAAGACAAAACAAAACAAAAACAAAAACAAAAAAATTATCCCCGTAAAAAAAAGGACGGTCCAGTCCAGTCCAGAGTCCAGACCAGAGTTCAGTCCTGGTTTTTCCAACTGGCCTTATAAAACTTGGGCAAGGGTGCATATGATAATTTGTCAACATAAAATTCCTTACAAATACTCAATAATGAGCTTCTTTTCATTGAGAACTCTTTTCGCGCCCGGGTGAAATTATGTTAACAAATGGCGCCGACAGTATTTATTCAAACACTTAGAAGTTTTTAGTACACGTTCAAATAGATTTTGTTATCAACATCACAGTGATAATATCTGAGTTTAAACACTGAATCAGTAGTGAAAGTAATAACCTTATAGCTTTGAAGCACTGGTACTAAGCCATATCTCCTATTATGAGTACTCGGATGTTTTTCCGAGCCGCCTGTGTCACTGGCCTAATAAACATCTTTCTCACATACATCTCTCTCGTTTGAATTATCATGTATCCCACTGCCCTTTCCTGACGGACGCACTTCTAACTTACTACTAGTGTTACTGACAGTACGTAAGACTATAGCCGGATAACAGATTACGCTGAAACAAAGAGCGACGCGTACTCCTACCGGGTTCCGACGCCGTACTTCACATCGCCGAATCGAATTCGAGTTTAGGCCGACTCAAATTAATTTAGGCAGTCTGAATTGATTCAGACGCCGATCTTTGTTCTTATTCCACTCGAACTAAATTCCAAAGGAAAGAAATGTGCCTTTCGGTTTAATACGTTATAAAAAATATGCATGCAGTTCGGCTCACAGACGTTATTCCCGGTTGAATGAATGAATGAAGAGTCGTGGATGAGAGGACAACAGACGTGCCCTCTTTACAATACATTTTTAACATGTGAACAGTAAGCACGGACGTCAGCATACAGCCAGGCGTCAAGAACGGCTGAACCAATCCAAATACACTTAGCAGTTTCTAATTGACTCAGACGCCGTACTTCACAATTCGATTCGGCTCATGTGAAGTATGGAAGCCTACTTGCAGCACGTGACTAAAGTAAGAGAACCAATAAAATTTCCGTATTCTCCACAATAGCTTCCATAACAACCGATAGAACTGCTTCCAAATTTGGCATCGTTTACGAACTGTGAATGTGAGGAGTAGAGGTACAGAGATTTAAGATGTCCCTCATGACGCTTAAAACCAACTGGACAGCGGCCATTGGCCAAGATGCAGAAGCTCCCATCTGGCCACTCTGCGGAAACGCATACATATAAATGCGTTAAACTTTAAAGTGTATTTCCTTATAATTTTATTTTATCCTTAGTATAAATTTCATTTTCTTGGCTTTAAACTCGTTATCATAAATTACCCTATCCAACTACAAAAGAAAATAATTTTATTAAATATGTTTAAAATAACATTGAACAAAAACATATTCAACCGTAAAATGTCGCTACATAAAATCTCTTCACCGGCCCAAAACTGGCAATTTTTTTAGTGGATTGATAAATTATTGATATTATCAGGAGAAGGCTAACAGTCGACAATACAATTCTGTAAACCTACGTATTATATTGTCGTTAGACTTTCAAAAAAGTCCTTCCTCGGGTTTCATATGGCGCGCTCTCGCGACTTCGTCGCTCGCGGTCGGCCGCTTTGCGGCCAAAAAAGGCTCGCTCCGCTGGCCAAGAGGTCAACTTGTAGCAAGTCTATATTGTCGTTTACAGCGTGTTTCTTGTTCCTTATAGGAATAGGCCTAATTCTTAGCTAAGTTATCGGTCATCATCTATGCAATTTAGAGAGATTCAATGCAGTCATCCTGTCAGGCCCAGAAATTAATCCATTGTTGTTGACACAAAGACGGTACTGAAGCGGCTAAGTCAGTTATAAGTCGGTCAAGCAGTCGTCTGATCGAGCGGTACATGACTGACATCAGTTTTTTTTTTCAGATTGGAGATGACGCTATTAATGGTTGACCTTAATGTTATGAGCCACACGAGGGGATGAGCGTTTTGGGTCGGTACTGTGTCAACGAGCATTATGGGATTGTTTTGGGGGAGCGATCCCTTCTTTCATTGGCAATTATAATTGCACAGGAAACTGGGTCATAATTTGTCACCAAAACAGTACCATAGTGCAGTTCGAGACAGCACCAAACCAGTCCCACGTGCACAACACGTGCACTCAAAATGGCCAGTTCACGAAAACGCAGGCAATCACTCAGTTACGCTAAGGACACTGTGGATAACTTCTGGCCAGACCGACTAAGGTACAACAGCGCTTGTTTCGTTCCATTCAACCTTTCTCACAAATCACCGACAAGTATCCGCTTGTCCTGATGCAGACGTATTGTTTTAGAGATACGAATTACTGAGGGCCGCCTGAAAGTCCTGCATAGTGTTCAACGTGAGAAGTACGGACTACAAATGGAAGACTCCGAAGAATTATAATTCTACTAGCCCTGGATATGATCTTAATTTTTAAAAAAACTATTTCTAATTAACTCACCTTCCCTGCTACCTTCGCTTCGTTCCTTTGCGTAGTTCACCGAGACTCGTAGTGTATTTACTTCATTTTCCAGCTTCTTAATCCTCGCCATAACCTCGTGCTCCATTTCTTCTATTTCTTCTTCGTTTTCTTTATTTTCTTCGGCTAGGCTTTTAAGATCCTTCCTTACTGTAACTGTTGTTTCCGACCACACTCCAGCTAGCTCATCCACATGTTTTATAGTTTGGTTCAGCTTTTTCGTGATGCTTTGTATTAAGCTTGATTGATTAGCAATCTTTTTGAAGATCTGCTTGAATTTAACCTCATTCCCAGTTCCCTTGGTGACGCTGGTGACTTGATGGCTAAGGTTTTCAATGATCTCAGACTGGGCTTTCACCAGACTTGTTACTGTTTCAACATTGTTGGCGAGTGCATTGAGCTAAAGAATCAAACGGATATGGTATCAGTGAGTCCCTAAATACTGTGTGACCTCTATAAATAGGTTTTGATAGATTGTGCTCGCAAAAGTGGCATAATGTGCTACAAAACTAGCCAAAAGTGCAAATTATGCTAGCGGTGTTTTTTTTCGGAAAATGGGTGAAATTTATGCTCGTTATGACGAATAATGCTAAAAATTATGCTAGCGCAATCTATCGAAGCCCATCTAAAAAGCGGCCCAGCACTAACCAGTCTCTCGCCAGTCTGAAACTTTGTTTTTACCCTTGCACGCACTGGGATTTTTGTTTGACCGCTCGCGCGTTCCTGACATGCGCAAAAATACGGCCGGGCTGTTTTGCGGTCAATTTCGTACCTCAAGTCTCCGTCCCTTACTGCGCATGGAGGGGGACATTGGGGGGTACCCAATACCGCAATACCGTAAGAAAAAATGGCAAATACCGAAATACCGCGTCGAAAATCGTCTAAATACCGATACCGCATATTTAAACCACATTTATAACCGGTTCCGCATACTTATGGTTGCTTCCATCCAGCTCGTTTAATCATCTCAGGCATTTATGCACCAGATGTCCATGTTTTTTTTAGATATTTTGGTGAGTTCGCAAATTTTTCGCAAATTTTCACTGGAAAGTAAACTACATTCGTTCAACCTTTTGGTAGGTCGACCCAACAGCTAATTAACTCCAATAAAAATAACTCTTGAAAGCGCGAAAAACAAACCAACCAAAGCCCTTTCCACGCACGTCTAGTGCAAGTTTTGATAAGTGAGTCTAGTCTACCACGTCAGTCTCTCAGGGGTCAACTATCTCGACTGTCTCACACGCCGCGCCGGTAACAGGCAAACCTACCAAATTTTCTTTTTTAACTTTACAAGGCGTTTTTCAATTCTCAAAACCCAAGATCTAAACTTATTCTTGTTGCGATAATGTTCGCCTCCTTCACCCTCTTCATAAAAAAATTGCCACACAGTCAATGATCACCACGCCGTCTTCAACCTCAGCGACCTCAACCATTGTGAGAAAACGTGTAAGACCTCGAAAAGGGGAAAAAAAATTAGCCCCTGGATACTCAGGCTATCAGGTACACAGATTGAAAAGCCTGGTAAGGTAACTTGAGACGACTCATTATCATTGGATGCAACAACAATCACATTGTATCTTTAATATTGACCATTAACTGTCACAAAATGACCCACAAATGGTGTAATCATTTACCGTTATGTCTCAAGACTTCTAAATATTAACTTTTATTGACCTTTATGTCCTACTGTGTTTTGGTTTTGCGTATTGTATCGAAAGGAAAGCGCATATAAACGGTACCGTAATATCGTGAACAATCTTATTTCACCGAATACCGTCAGCCAAAATGATGAAAAATCGCATACCGCAGAGCTAGATGATACCGCAATACCGCACGTTAAAATTAAAATTACCGAAATACCGCATGAAAAAAAGCCCAATACCGCAATACCGGCAGGACTTTTCCGCGGGTGGCGGGTGGCTTGAGGAATGGAATGGTGGGACTGGGTAGCTAAAGAAAAAGGGGGTACGCTACATCTCGGGTCAAATTATACAAGGCGGTAGAATAAATCTGAAGAGGGGTCACTTTGGGTGACGGGTGGCGGGTTACGGAGAAAAAAATATATATGAAAATAAAATATTATAATAAAATATTATTATTGATAATGATATAACTATATGTTGTAATTTTAAAATAATTTCAACGTTTATGTACTAGCTACCAGACTCTAAAAATAAAAGTATTGTCTTGTTTTGTTTTATCTACTTACGCGGACATTTCAAAAAAAAGAAATCATGCCTGTGAAAAAACAGTCACCTCTCCTTGCTCCGCACCGCTAAAAGTGACGTTTCGTCAGGCTACACGCGGTGTGTCAAATGAAAACGGACTATGTCAAGCAAGACACAAGGCACTTGTCGATCTTGTTTGTCTAGTTTGCTTTTTCTTCCACATCAAGACGAAAGATGATTGCACTTCCCCAACTGTTTAGCCGTGTTTATAACAGACTGCAAGATATTCTATTATTCTACACGATATCGCATGCACGAGATAGCTTGAGGAACTCATAAAAATTAAAGTAATATTTATCCTGCGACTAGACAAGTAAGATCGCATTCTCTTCTCGACATGTTTGAACAGTGTCTCAGATTTTTGACAAGTGCGTTTGTTCTTTTGTTATAAGTTGGGATAAACATTGCATTGCCCTTGGGATAAATCTTTGTCAATTTGGTTCCCGACTTGTAGTTTAAAATGAACAAAGTATCTATTTCGAGAAAACAAGGAAATTTTCCTAAGACTAAAGCAACAAAGCTGTCAATGTTAACGCGTACCAGAGAAGGAGCAAGAACGTTTTGGACACAGCATGGACCGTTTTCGCCGCATGTGGCGTCTCAGACGCGAATTGATCTCCTTGTATATATATACAAAAAGGATGTGCATTTTTTAAATACTACTCAAAAATACCGATTAGGATGGCAATCATGCCGCATACTAGGGCAAAAACTGAGCTACGACACGGGAGGCCGAATCTCTTGCAGTCTGTTATAAACACGGCTAAACAGTTGGTGAAGTGAAATCATCTTTCACACGCATGATTTCTCGTTTTTTTTTTCCATTTTTAGTCCGCGTATTAAGTAGATAAAACAAAACAAGACAATACTTTTATTTGGAGTCTGGTAACTAGTACGTAAACGTTGAAATAATTTCAAAATTACAACATACAGTTATATCATTATCAATAATAATATTTTGTTATAATATTTTATTTTCATATATATTTTTAACCCGCCACCCGCCACCCGCGGAAAAGTCCTGCCGCCGCAATACCGTAAACCCCCATGTCCCCCTCCGCATGCTGGCCTGGTCAACGAGAACGAAGACGCTGGGTACGAGGGTGTTTTGCAGTCCACTCCTACACCAAGCCATATGACTATTTAACATAACCTGTTACAAACATTTTTAAATCTGTGGAGGGAGTTCTATAGTGTTGCCATTCAAACGAAACCCCTTTGGCCAAACTTTTGTATAGTGCTATTTATTTGCAAATATTTTACGAAAAGAAGTGAATTTTATTAATTTTCTACATTTGCTACCATTACGGGTGAAAGATATTGTCATGATCTTGTTAAATGTTTTAGTCTTTCTACACAGTGTTTGCCGAATACGCTGGGGCGAATACATCACAAGTATTTGAGAGCCCGCGAGGAGATATCCCTAATTTGGAGAGTACATTGTTCGACTGTCCAGTCAGAATATTCAGAAGCGTGTAACTCAAAGCAAAAGCTAGTTTTTGTACTGTTAGGAAAGTTCGTACTTACCGTTTCTCTTTCAGCTTCTCCTTGGCCGCTTCCTTCGTTACCGTAGAGAACAATAGCTGTCATCAAACACAATTGAAACCAGCAGGTTAGCTTTTCAGTATATAACCTGTGCTAGTTCACTTAGAACGAACTGCTGTCAATTATTCAAACAAGAATAAATTTGTTTACCTCATTCTAAAGTAAAAACTATTTCAAAGTGAAATATTTGCTCCAAGAAAATTGCAACGTTTTATTTCAAAATAAATTGCTCTAATAGATTTCTGTCAGTTTGATTTGTTTAAGTCTGTGAAGTAACGATGTTTATTTTAAGTAAACCGACTCGTTGTCTTCAGTTACAATAACCTGAACTGTCAAGGCATAGAAGTGGTTTCAAATGTCTATTGCCCATTTTAAAGGTCGGGTTCCTAGGCGATTTTAATCGTTTAATAAGGTTAACTGGAATATCATAAAAAAGAATCCTACATCAAGACATGCAGTAACATCCGTCTTACCGCTGTTACACAAACCTTTGAATTGGCGTGATGCCATAACAGTGTCCTAGCAGAAATAAATTACTGTCCTTACCTGCTTGGTGTGGTTTTGGGTGAACCATGGTGACAAGATGTTTTTTGTCACTTTGTTCTGTAACCTTTCTTGCTGAGGATTCCCAAGTCAATAACACTAAGACACAGAATTTTGCGAGCTTAAAGGGTTCCATGGTTTCGGGTGACTAGGAAATCATGAAGATTGCTATTGCTTCATGGGAAAGAGCAAATGAACCCTTTAACGTTAACAAGTTGTGTCATGAAACAAACTCAAAACAGCCAGCGCGTAACATTTGTCACAATAACTTTCTTGTACAGTTGCAGGTACGCGATGGACAATTTTTGGACGCCCACTCACAGAAAAATCAAGTACCAGTCCTCAGCTAGTAGATAGGCCAATAGAATCGCGATCATTGTACAACTCGATGACCCGATATTATTGTCAAAAAAACTTTAAACATGTCGCATTCTTCATTAGCGCGGGAAAACATTTAAACCTGGCGGAAGTTACTGGTTGTTTTAACACATAAAAGAAGAGGCGAAGGTCAGCGCTCGCTAAAGCTGCCAGAACTCTCCGATCGGCGATCAAATTCGTTTTTTAACAGTCCCGGGTGGGTATTAGCCTACCACGCAGGCGTTTTTAGGGGAGCTCGTGCGTGGGAGGCTAGGTCGGTATGCGCAGGATAAAAAGAGTGCCCTTATATGGACGTTTGCCCTTACGAAAGTAACGATCTGCTTATTTCTTTTGATGGATTTTCTATTTCAAGAAATGAGTAGTACTTAACGAAGCTCCGCTTTTAGGCTTGACTAAATCTATATATTTAGTAGTATTTTAATTCTCCCGCTTTGTGGTACATCGAGGTAGGAGAGTAATATTAAGGGAGATAGCATAGAGAATAGCATAGGAAAAGCCCGGTTTCAAGAAACAAATTACAACGTTTTCAGTCGACACACTTCAATAATCGTTCAGCGTGTCTTAAAGTGGTGGCTAAGAATGACCAAGTAACTTTCCCGACGAACTTTTATCAAAGTAAAACCGTAAATCGCATAAGTGATTCCAACTTTCATACCTAAAAGATCACGTGAAAATTAAGGATCGTGACAAGCACGACACACCTTTTTCTTCAACGTATAATTCCTGCACCTAACCTTCAAAGAAAAAAGGACAGATGCACGAACTTCTCTTGATTTTTCATTTCAATTATTTTTAGATCTCCGTGAATCACGATTGTTAAGTTTTCCTATATTACGTCGATGCTTGTACGTTCAGAGGCGATAATAATTTGTACATTTTACTGAAAAAGTAACGGGTCCAGAGTCAAGAGGCGAAATATACAGATTCAGCGACATTATGATGTAGGTAGAGTAAATGGACTTGAGTATCCTCTCAATGAGCAACTTTGTTGAGTTGTTTGCGTTCCTTAGGGAAGGGTTGAAGCATTCCCTCCTGACAGTATTTCATTAATGCGGCTTTTAAAGCCTGAAAAGCAATAAAGAAAGACACTAATTAAATTCTTTGGAATGATATGATATGAATAAGCTGTAAATGGAGAAACGCCAAGAAGGGAACAACACAAACAAGAATTTTTATGATTAGGCACGGCTGTTTAACGACCCTATTTACTGGAGAGACAAAGTACTGATTAAGCCGTTATTTAGCGACGAAAGTAAATTTATTAAAGATGAAACAACAACAACATGATACTAATTTTGAGGAGGACTCGGAAAAAAAATCCGAGGCCCAGATGGGATTTGAACCCACGACCCTCCGTGATCTAGTCGGATGCTCTAACCACTTGAGCTACTGGAGACTCTATGGTGAGCAAGGGCCAATTTGTGGGTCTCGACTGGAACCGCATCACGCGGCTACACAGCCAAGTAATGACTGGCACAAAAGAACTCACTAACAGTATCGCGCTGTCACCTTAAAGCATATCCAAGATGCGTTCTTGTGTGCCAGTCATTACTTGGCTGTGTAGCCGCGTGATGCGGTTCCAGTCGAGACCCACAAATTGGCCCTTGCTCACCATAGAGTCTCCAGTAGCTCAAGTGGTTAGAGCATCCGACTAGATCACGGAGGGTCGTGGGTTCAAATCCCATCTGGGCCTCGGATTTTTTTCCGAGTCCTCCTCGAAAGTAAATTTGTAATGTTTTGGTCAAGTTCTGCCTCTCTTTGAGAAACAAAGGCTCGGGTTAAAGGTAGAATTCACATGGGAAGAAATTAATGCTGATGAACGAGAAAAGTAGACTTTGCTCACTGCTTTATTTCGCTTCTTCCACTCTCTCCAGTCCTGCCAAGCCTCAGCTCGACTGTCTTAAAAGGGACTAGTCACAGTTCAGCGTTTTTTCGTTACCAAGACTACCAGGCTAGAAAGGGAATGGCGTAAAGTGCACCACACACTTGTGGCTGATTACTTACCTCGTTTTTCGCTCTAATTTGACTGTAGCTCGAAGCTGAAAGTGAATCATAACAGCAGATATGGTTAGTTATAGTTATAAAGCTAGCAGCCGGTCCAGGTTTTTAAAACAGGTATGGTACTTGGGTTGAAACTAGCCTAAAGAGGAGTCAGGCGCTTCTTTTCAAAAGCTTTTTCAGTATTATTTTTGGAAACATGTAAATATTGAACTAGGGAAAGAAATGTAAGAAAGAGGGAGGCGGCAAGGGGGACGAGGACAAAAACGCCTACCCACAAAATTACTGAACACCCACTAATTACAGACGCAAAATCAATTTTCCTGAAACGTTTAAACAGCCAATGAAACGGACTTCCGACAACAACATTGACCTGTGTATTTATCAGCAGGGGCACCCAACGGGAAATTTTGAGAAAAAGACCTAAAAACAACAACAAAGCGTGAATAAAGTTTTCTGAGACTATGTTACGCATTTTGGGAGATTGCTGGAAAAAAATTATCTGTTCCTCACTCCCAGCAAGACTGATGGAAGAGTTCCCAGCCAGCAACCTTACAACCTGCAACCTGACTTACTGGGAAGTTTCATAGGGCACAATTCAGATCTTGAGTGGTAAGTAACCCATACAAGTAACCCGTAGCAGCTATTCTAGACTTCAAATCCCCTCTGACACCCTGAATTATCCTTTTCCCAGCAACACTTTCCTTCCAAGGACTATTATTTCTTTCACATCTCCCAGCCAGCAAAAATGTGCCTGAAGAACAGATATTTTGAGGAACAGATCCATTGGGTGCCCCTGTATCAGGTCTTGGAAATTGTCGCTTCTTGACGCGCGAGTAACGTCATGCCGAAAACACGTCCTGGTAACAGCCGCAGGATTTGCAAATTCACCATTTTCACATAGACCATAATGCTCCTTGTTTACCCTCCCCCCCTCCCCAAATTTTGTATAACCATTGCCTTTGATTTCCGTTGGGACGACTGTAATACCCAGGAGAAACAAGGTGAATTGTGGTCTACGTGAAAATGGTGAATGTTATTTTAAAGGGAAGTTCCCTCAGTAACAGTAGCCTTAAGGTCGCCATACAAGGAACAGGTCCTTACAGTTGTACCAACAGATAATTCTTAAAGGAGTTCTTGAGTTTTAGCAGTTTGAAAATACCGTATCTTTATGTACCAAGATACAAAATACACGAATGTAGTACATACATCTGTAGAATCTGCGAGTACTTTACCTTCTGCGATCATCTTATCTCCAGTGAACACACCAACCACGTAAACAGGTACAAGTGTGTTTAAACCACTTTGCTGAATGAGTCTGTTCAACAATAACATAATATGCTAAGCATGAACATCAGAAGACCTATATAATAGCATAGTCTGGACGTTTACAGGCACTCTGAAAGCAGCTTCAATTTAATTTCTCACCCCAATTTGTTTAGAGGTGGCTGAATACAGTTTCTCTGACATAGAGTTGCGCACGCCAAGAAATTTCACCGACACAATTGTTTCCGCGCGCGCAAAAGTGTTGAGCAAGCGTACTTAGGGGATATGAGGGGGCGCTTGTTTTGCTGACTTTCATAGACAATGTAAAGAGTTGATTTTGAGATATTATCTCAAAATCAACTCATTAGAATTATTTTGACGAAATGAGACAAAACTCTTGTCAATATCGCACCTCAGTCATTGAAAGCCCGAAGATAAAAGTTGAACAAAGGATTTTTGTGACGCAATCAAATTTCACGATAGCTATTAATAATATTTTTGTTAAAAATTTCAAAAACTGTTTGTTACAGTTCGGTCAAGTTGTTTTTAGGAAATGAGGATCATAATTTGTAACCAGTGTGCAAATTCATACGAACATCTAATGACTAGATTTTTCGTTAACCTACTGAATTCTTAATTTTAGGCTTGTTATAAACCATCCATGTTGCCATGGCAATGATCGAAATCTTACGTTTAACCTAATAAACGTAATGTCTTATAAATATAGTTTGTCCGTATCAAATTTGAGCCTAATACCTGCAACGAGTCTCAAAAAACATCCCAATCTATAGTAACGACTCACGACCGACCAAACTGTGTTAAGCCACCTTAAGGTTGGTTCCAATGCTCACAAAATTATACTTCATAAAATAGAACAAAATAGAAAAACGTTTAACTCCGGCCACTAAGGATTTTTAATCCTGCTACTTTTTTGGATTATTTGTGTCAAATTATTTGAGCAAACTGAGGGTCACTACATGTAAGTGCAAAGTCTTCACGTGCACTATAAACAAAGCATAATGCATTCCTATTTTTACACAGTCAAGAAATTTTAAATGTAAAATTTTGAGAGATTTTTATTTCTGTTTTCAGTACATACACAATGTACATACAAGGTCACATTTTACAAAGGGTCTGTCATTAGTGACAGCCCTGTTTCCCCATGTAAGATTCTGAGTAGTACAGTAGCTCTTCCAGACCTCTGTTTTCATTGGCCTAAATAAGCAGTAGGTTTTTTTGTTTTTTTTGGGGGGCTAGGGATATTGTTTGTGCTGAATCATCATTCTCCAATCACAGACCATGTCTGGAGAGCTACTGACCTTTTCAAGATTCTTCGACTCCTTTGCCTACCTCCTCCAAAACAATGAATTATATACATGTACGTGCGAAATGCAAATTATAAACTACGGCCTTGGTCAAACAAATTGGCATTAAACACTTTGTTCGGCCAAGGCTAAATTTGCTACAGAGAGTCCAAAAAGAGTTCAATAAGTACTGGTGTCTTGTGAGGTTACCTTGCTTCTGGTTTCTCTTTTCCCTGAATGGCAAAGATATTCTGCAGGACTTTTTCGGGAAAATCAAAGTGAAGAATTTTATCAAGCTCTTCTCCTTGAAGTTGAGTAATAATAAAATCTTCCACAAATCTCCTTGCTTCAGAACACCCCTGAAGACATTTAAATCAAGCAAAAGTTAGAAAACAACATATTGATAGCTATTACTGTTTTCATTGCTACATGTATATGTAAATTATAAGCATGACTTTTCTCTGATCTTATATTAATGAAGAAATACTGGTACTTAGATGTACAAAACACTATAAATTTGCATACAGAGTTGTGAAAAAGCACACTTACAATGTAACTAGAAGGATGAAATATGAAATTAATGTGAAGAAAGGATCTGATATACCAAACAATTTTTTCATACCACAGGTTTCACAATATATTTCATGTGCCATTATGAGACAAGCTGAATGAGATGTTAACTTGATTTTAGTGCTCAATTGCTGAAATGAGAAGCTGGGTAAGGCTGCTGCCCTTCAGGCTCCTAAAATGATAAGTTAGGAGCCCAAGCCCTATTTCTAAGAGCCCATTAAAAAAAGCAATGACTTTATTAACATGTCAATCTTCTAGCACACAAGTGGTGGCACATACATGTATTAGTTGATCAATACCACCCACATCAAACCTTTCTTGCAACATATAAGGTTGTTAACAGGTTCGAACGTGGATGGCAAAACGTGCAACATCGCTCTTTAAGTCATTTTGCAGAAATGTTTGAAAATAAGCTGCATGTTTTGGTTGCCCGTTTGACCAAAGCTTCATTCGCATAGCAACTTTTTAGTACATACAGTAGCGACCTAACGTTTCTAAAAGCAAAAAGCTGGGAGAAAAGTCCTGAAGGTTTTTCTAAGACTGTGAAATTCATTCAAGATCATTTTCAGATGGGAAACTTTAACTGCACTCCAGTGGAAGTCAAGGAAGCTAAAATGTTTACTTTTTATTTGTGAAAAAGATTTTATTTTGCCTGTGACCAATGACCAGACATTTTAGGTTTTAGTTTCACAAAAGCAGAATGAGCAGGAAATTTTGCCATTCGTTCACTGAAAGTTGGCATACATGTAAGCATCATATAAAGTATAAATATATTGAACATATAAGTAACACCCATAATCATAACACGAGATCCGTTTCCAATAACAATATTACAACACCAGCTTGTAAAAGGAACTCTGGCCTTCGAACGTTTCAATCAAGCGCTTGCCGTTTGTGGAACGCTCTTGATCCCGAACCTAAGACACTCTCCCATACTAATTTTAAAAATTACTTATTTAAACTTTAACGTAGTTTGATTTCTTCTCTTGATCATTTTAAGATTTGTAAAACCTTTTAGTTTCATTAGTAGTCAATTAATCAATATTGTATTAATAGTAGTTTATTATGTAAGTTTAGTTGGTAGATTATATGGGTAGTTAATTAAATAATCGATACTTTTTATTACTTTAATTGTAGGAGGGCCATTATGAAAACTACTGGGTGACCAGTAATCAATGTCTTTACCCTCGTTAAATAAAGTTATTACTTACTTACTTACATAAGTTTTAGGTGCCCCTACGAGCTCCTTGTTTGAAATTGTGGTCACCTGCAGGCAGATCGTAGGTGCCTCTGTGACTGGGTGCCCATTAGGCAGCAGCCTTGCTGTGACACAATCATGTTTATTTATAAAGGGGCAACAAATCAATGTTCTGCTTGTGTCTGTGAGTTTTCTTTTTAATACCAGCAGTAAAAGAGAAAATTGCTATTAGGTACCTGATCAACATATATTGCTCCCACAAGTGCAAAGAAAGTATCACAAACCACATCCTCCTTCCTGAAATCAAGATGCTTCTCTTTATGCAAGTCATCTAGGTCATGCTATAAAAAATAAAATATTATTCCTATAAGGTTATTTTTCAGTCAAGTCTTAAATAAAAAAAAATTTCTTCACTGCTTTGATTTTTTATTACTACCTGGACATGAAGGCAGCAATTTCTCAACCAATCAGGAGACAACTCATTCCCAAAGGATGCATAGAGAAGATGATGTGATGCAGTATGTAGACATGTCTTGTTATTTTATTATATATTTATTCATTCTGTTGCTTGCTTACTTGACCATTCATTCGTTTCTACATTCATTATTTTTCCAGTCTTTTACTCTCTGCACCTACACTGTATAAACCCATGCTTGACACTGGAAATACAATGTGTGTCCGACAAACATCTTACCCACAGTTCAATAAAGAATGAGTTTATACCAGTACTATTATATCATTATAAATCTACATATTTACTAATAATTGCATGCGACAAGAGGAGCCTGCAGACTATTCTTGGTCAGCAGCACATTATAAACGGTATAGCGAGGTTTACTACTGCCTACTAATAATGCCTACTAATATGCATGGTATGTGGCCAAGAAGGCCCTGGTGTTGAGTTTAAGGTCCATCTGATGTCACAGTAATCACGTGAATGCAAACACAAGTGATACAACTACAATAATTGTTCAATTTGAAAATGTACATATCACATTCAGGTATACACGTAACATACTAAATGCAAGACTTTTTCATTCAACTTGCTGGCTAGAGCAGCCTGATCTCAGCTTAGTGAAGGATGAGTCTTCGGTATAAGATACTAGTGACTGCAAAGTATATAAATCCATTCAGGTTACACTACCGTGCATGGTTTTATATTATAAGCACGTTAAGTTGCTTGTCATCTGAAAGCTTCAATAAGTTTTTTCATGATTTTCTATTACATTACAACGACCTTTGGTCAATGAACATGAACTGAATATCCAATTGAATAATAAGACTTCAAGTAGTCATGACTGTATACATGTACATTCCACATTGAGCACTGTTTATGTCACGCATAATTGCTGCTTTCATTGTACCTTTGCCTGCGAATACAGCAGTCTCTCCTCACTTCTCACCATTTGCAGGCTATTATCGTATCTAAGCCACTGTATATAAAATCGTTGAATTCAACATGAATCTTGTTTACTGTGTTGTTCATTCAGTTTCCGTGTTTATGATCTTCCATGATTCCTTTTGTTGACACTGGAACTAACAGGGCTTTCCCTGATTCACGTACGTTACTTTAAGATAAACACACATGTTCGCCTGCACTTCCTAACTTTTAGTTACTGCTAGTAAGTAGGGATAATATTGATTTTTACCTCAAGTCTTATCATGTCGGGTAGAGAAACTTGTTGGGCTAATTTAACTATGTTACTTCGCCCTAACAGAAAATCATGAAAGCACCTGCAAAAGAAAGGGGAAAGATTATACGATAATTGAAGCTGAACCAATTTTGTAAAAAAGCACAACCAGCAGAAAGGATGTATATATACTACTATGTTAAGTTATCTGATCTACGTGGTAAGAGCTTACCTGACCCCTAAGCGGGGAAGGGAAGGGTAGGTGCTACAAAGGTGATCCACTATATACAATGACGACGCTGTCAGTCCTAAAAATTAATGTAGAGCTAGAATTAAATATTATCTCAACTTAAAAAAATAAAATTCAAATAAATTAAAGTGCCTAAATAAAATGTTTTTACAATAATAATAATAATAGTAATAACAAGGAGGCAGCATGGCTGAGTGGTCAGTGCATCAGACATGCAATCTGGCAGTCCCAGGTTTGAATCCTGCTCTGGCCACTTGCTGGATTTGTTCTAGGTCATTCTGAGTTTAAATCTTTGGCAAACAGCCAAGTGGTTGCCTCCTGCCAGTTATGTTGTATTTGAATTATTCGGTTTCTAAGTATTTGAGTGGAGTGCCTGTAAACTAGCTGCTGGATAAGCTAAGTGCACTTTCCACTATAAACAAGCTTTAAACCTTTATTATTATTATTTATCAGGGCTAATGCAGCTGAAGTACACCCTATGTACTGAGACCATAGTAATTACAGCATAATGAAATACTGATGAGAGGTCTTGGGATTGTCTTACAGGAAAATGTACAATATAAAAGTAACATTCTCCTCTAGAAATTAAATAACAATAATTATAATACTACAACTTTAATTTGGCCCTTCAGTACCAGGAAATAAACTTTTATTAATGTGAAAATATTATTCAATGAAATTAATATATAAACCGTTTAGCTATGGAAGCAAATGTTTTATTTTTCTGGCATAGTCATTAAAGATTTTTTCAAGAAGAACAATCATTAAGGCGCATCTATAGCGTTTTATCATGAACCTTTTTTCCAACACTAATAATCTCTGTTGATAATGATAATGTATTGATGTTAATGAACACTTAGATGCTGCATATGTTTCTCTATTATCTCGAATGATTATCATTTCCATTAAGCTGAAAATTAATTGGCATCATTGAATGTCCTTCTCAATGTAAAAATCTATAATTATTGACCGCACAAAAATTCAGATGTTAGTTTACTTTTTTTTGCAATGATTACAAATTTATTTTGTCACCTGATATTTTGACGCTAATGAAAACTTATTTCCTGGTAATGAAGGGGAAAAAGTGTAATAATGAGAATAAAACAGAAGCTGTCATGGATGTAGAGCAAGTTTGTGAGAAACAAAACTAACCTAACAATGACAACCTTGCATTATGTTCACTAATCTGAATTGATGCTTCATTATCCCCACTATCATCAGTAATTGTATCTGCCTTAAATGATTCATGAGTTAAAGCAGTTAGGAGGGTGTTGTCATCGTTAAATGTTAAGCCAAGCCTGCTCTTGAAGGAAAACAATTCTCTGTCGTAGTTTTGCCTGAAAAATTCCTTCTTGTCAAACACTCTATGAAACGAAACAAATATCAAAGACAATCAGTTGCCTTAGCCTTGTAAGAATACATAAAGAGGAAAATACATGTAGCTGAAAAACACTTACTTTGGCTCAGTGGCTTCCCTCTTTATTAGTTTTTGTCTAAGATTCCTTTCTCTCTTTCTTGTATTTCTGTTACTTCCTCTGTAGTATCTCACACCTTAAAGAAACCATAATTTAGTTTCACTATTCATCAACCCCCCCCGCCCCTACATATTTGACTGCTATGAGAAAAGAAGATCATTAGTTGTTTAGGTTAACATTGATTATAGTTCCAATAGTGTGTAATTTGTGTTATGATTTTAAATTTATTATTTGGATAAAGTTGATGTACATAGGACTGTATAAGGCTCCAAATAAAGCATTGTCTTGTCTTGTCTTGAAGGTTAACTATATAACATTGTCTGAAAGAGCCACCACACTGCCAAGCCACTAAAATATATACTTTTCGTTTTAAGACGCTAACCTCAACTGATGAGCTGCAAGATACTGAGCCACCTAGACATGAAACTACATATCTTTATTTGCTCTTAAAAGTTTATACTTTTACATCCTTTTATGTCTGTCAATATGTGTCTTATATCTCGGTGGCTATTCAGCTGAGGTAGTATAGTTTAGTGGCTCAACGATTTGATGGCTCCTCAGTCGGGACTTCCTTTTTCTGAAGGGTCCAAATACGATTGGCTTCTTTGAAGAAAAAACCCCAAGCTCTCTATTCGAAAACCTGCCATCTTAAGCGGGGTCCTACGCCCGGGGCAGGCTGATAACATACGCGTAAAGCTGGCTGGTTGGGCTAGGATTTAGTGCTTTTAGACAGTTCAAAGCACATACTTTTCTGAAGAATAATTCTTACACACAGACACGACATTTTGTGAACAAAAACGAAATGCAGTCTGGCTAAATTTTGCATGGCCTTTTTAATAGGGTACGCTGCAGGGTGCAAAAAGATATGACTCCATACCTGAAACAACGCAAGAACTATTCAAAAAGCCATTCTGAGTACATTCTTTCCACCTCCAGCAGCACTTTTGAAGCAATGACGAACACGCAGTAAGCTTGGTAAAGGAACATGCCGCCATCTTGCAAACTGAAACACCGCTGATTTCTTTTATGGTACTTCATGTAACATGTAGTTTCTTAGTTACTAGTTCCCTCTCGAACAATAGTTGCCATCTTGTTCTTTTCCTGCACTGCATGAAGTTTCACGAGTTATCATGTGGCTAACAACAGTGCTATGTAGGCGGTGGACACCTGGAAGGTTATTTGCAGGGTAAGAAAGCCTAGAGCCATAAGATCGTGAAGTTTATGCACAGTTCTGACAAGTCGTAATACCCCCATCTTCCTGTAGCTATGTTAGCTGATTTTGTGAAGCCTGTCGAAGTTAGCAACATAGTGATGTTATTTTAAGCTTATCTGACATGAAAACATAAGAAAACCGTGATTTCTTGTGCGTATCATTATGTACGAACGTCATTTTGGCTTTCATGGAAGAGGAAAAAAAATAGTGCTTTAAATGTGAATCAGGCCCGCCCAGGGGGGTATTGAGATACCAATATAGCCGATTTTTTCCTCATCAGATACCAGTATACCTTAACAAAAATCTTTGATACTGATAACCTGCAAATGCAGACCGCTTTATGACAAACGCAGACTGCTGACTGACAGGTAAACGAAGTAAACATTGTTGTAGAATGCTCTAAAAGATTCCCTATCCCTAAACTAGACTTTTAAATGTCTTAAACTTTAGGGATAGGGACTCTGTTAAAGCATTCCACAACAAGGTTTTCCTCATTTACCTGCCCGTTTGCAAGTTTGCAGTCTGTGTTTGTCGCACTTCGACACAAATGCATTTTGGGATGTTTCTTCTCTCCACCAGAAAAGTAACATCTGAGAACCAGAGCCGCCAAATGATTTCTGTGACTTAGGACAGGGGCGGATCTAGGGGGAGGGTGCAGGGGGTGTGCACCCCCCCTTTGACATGACCTGCAGTTTTCTAATACAACTGGTATTCTGCAAAAAAAAAACTATGTGGTTTATTGGTGTTAAAGTACAGCAAGAGACGAGTGCACCCCCTCCTAAAAAAAATCCTGGATCCGCCCCTGTAGGACATTATCAGCAATCACAGTGTAGCTCTTTAACACCAAGAACTAAGTTGTGAGAGTTCTTGCATGATTCATTCATGGTGGATATGTTTACAATTCAAACAACTGGATGGAGAGTGTACAAAAGTTAATTTACCAGGATTGTGGAACCGATTGATGAAATAAGCACCAAGCTGATTCATATTGAAGAAGAGATTAGAGGGATATTTTTGTTTGCCTATGTATTCAATGATGTATCACACCTTACTGTTTTGATCATGTTCAAAACGATAAATGAACATCTCCGGGAATCTTGCTTATAGTCTGGAAAATCCTGATCCAAAGGTTATTTGAAAAATCTTGTCAAAAACCTTGACACGCATGCTCATGAGGTTGTAAGGAGTCACTGGAGGTTTACTTTTATCCTATATTCTGATTGGTCAACAACAAAGCAAAAGGTTTACGTCTCAGAAATCATTTAGCTGCTCTGGTACACAGACGTTACTTTTCAGGTGGAGAGAAGTGATGACCGGAAATATGTCTGTGTTTGCAGGCTATGATACTGAATACCAGCACCTAAAATTGCCTTAAACATAATACCATATACCTAAAAACGATTCGTCAGGTTACTGAGAGATAACAAACCCAGAAACAGTGTATAACTTTTGTTGTGCTGCTGTTGATCATGAGCTTTTTCTATTCCCTCCTTTTCCAGCCCCTGGCAAACTTCTGGTAAAGATGTTTGATCTTTGTGTCAAGTAAATTCATATATGAAAAAATGTACGAAAACTTGTGTCTAAGTACCAAATACCAAAAGTTTAGGAAAACAAGGTACTGACCTATACCTGTATTGTGACACCAAAATACCGTATACCTGAATAAAAAAGATGCAAATACTCAAATACCCAAAACCGCTGGCCAGGCATGGTGACTGAAGGTTAATAACTTAAAGGAATCAGTTTACTGCCAGCCATTACTAGCCATTACTACAAATTATGTATATGTATGTAGTCAACTCTCTTATAGTGACCACTTCTGGTAAGCAATGGTCCCGTGTAAGTGACCTCTTTGAAATGACTGTTTTGTTTCTCAGTCAAATACTGTTTCAAAAACTCTGGTAATTTGTTAATGACTGCTACCACTTTTTTCAAACAGAAATTTGACATATTCTTTTGTTTTCTGTTTACCGTAAGCGACTACCTGGCATGATCATGTATGATCTCCACATTCTCGCATATGTGTATTTGTTGTTAGGCTAGTTAAGAACATTTCATTTTTTCTTTGTTGACTCGTGGGAGACAAAGTGAAAGTGTTTCTTTAGTTCTCTTGTTACTTTTAGTTGTACTTAGTTGTATTTATTTCCTATAAACATGACCCACCTAGATTAACTTAGCTACCCATGAGCTTTTACGTCAAAACACAATAAAAAATCTATGTATGTATGTATGATTATGATAGTAAAAAAAAAACATCCCTTGAATGGAACAAAAGTTCCTGTTTTGATAGTACACACTTTATTATTATTACTATTAACAATTTGCATTTACATAAAGTCCATTTCTGCCCGCAAATAGTACTGACCAAGGTTGCTGACAGATTGTAGCAAATGGCTGTTACACAATCTGTGAGTAAAACAGTGGATTGTGACATTAGTGCAAAATTTTATGTACAGAGTTTCAACATTCCCAAGTGCTATTTGATGTATAAGATTATTTGCCTAACTTTTAGCTTGTAAGGTAATAACTTAATGTAATTATGTTAACCAGTTCAGTTTGACCTTACATGTATTTTCTTGATTTTTCCCGTGGACAACCACCTCCCATAAGCGACCACTTTGTCGTGCACCAAGGGTAGTCGCTTACAAGAGAGTTGACTGTATATTCAAACACTTCATATTGCAAACATAGGATGCATTAATTCTTTTCTTCTATTTAAGTATAAACCATAAGTGATCTTGGTGGTTTAAGCAATCTGACTGGTTCACTATCTTGGGATAATTGTGACTAATATTCCCTCCCTTGTGAGTGGAGAATGTGTGATCTTGACAACAGAAACAAAATGGCTGGCATGAACTTGGTGTTTTTTGCCAACGTTTTAGAGTGAGAACTTTTGAAAATTTAAGATGATTACCCAGCATTGAAATCAATTTCAAAAGGTGTCAGTGACAAGAAAGAGTACTAACTGTGGTATAATTCATAATTTTGTGTATTTTAATAACAGGAGAAACAGGCTTGTTAGGCAAATTAATCCTGCTACTATGAGGAGAAAGAGAGCTCGACTGGAGAGAAGACTTTCATACATAGACAATCTAACAGCAGTTCCTTTTCTAACACAGGTAAGAGACACTGTATACCCAGGGGGAGGTACTTTAGGACTTTTTGGGTGGGGATGTGCTGCTGGGACCCTGGAACCCTGGAACCCTTATCCTATACCAGAGCTAGTTCAAGTGAATTTTGCTACCCTGTACTAGACTAAACTCCCCAAATCCCTCCCCCCACCCCCCGCCCCCCCCATATCCTAGAGTTGCTGTTTTCCAGAAATTAATGAGGTCATTAGCACAGTCCAGGCAAAACAAAACCGATTTGATTTTTTTGTATTCTTGAGTGGCAATTCCCGGTTTCCCTAAGGTAGACTAAAATCTTCAGCCAGTTGATCAGTTTAAATGGAAAATGATATCTACATGTAGACCCAAACTCTCTGATTCATATACCCTATCCTACAGTAAACTGCTTGAAAACCATACCCTTCACAGCGGTACATACCTATATAGCCCATATATGGCAGTACCCCCTGTACCCCTCTTCCCCCATCAGTACATAGTCTACAGTAACATGAATTTGCTGCTCTCCACAAATTGGTGTGCAATTTGAGGGAAGATGAAAACAACGTTCATCAACTCTGTGGTCTGAGAAAAATTAAAGGGAGCCCAGTGCTCTGAACCTGTTAAAACCAGGGTGGCCAGCATAGGATTTCTAAAAAAACCTAAGTTTTCCTTGTTGCCCTAGAGCAAAAGGAAGTTGTCAGGGACTACTGGGCACAGCTAGAACACAGTCCTGAACGTCCAGATTGTCAAGTGTGTCTGATACATGTAATCCTATAAAATCCTCGTTATTTTTTCGGTATTGTCCCATAAAATCTTGTACATGTAATTCTGCAAAGCGGCCTATGAAAACCCAGATCTCTTGTCGTGTTGCAAAATGTTTCATGAGTGAGCGTTTTCAACACATATTCTTCTCTCCCCTGGCCATGTAATATCGTCTATTACTTAAAACAGCCAACAACCATTCGCCTAACTTGGCAGAATTGTTCAGCCTGACTTTTTTTTCAAAGTTTACCTTTGTTGTTTATAAATTTTAACTTTAACGCCGGAAGAAATATTTTGTTTTTCTGAAGCTCTAATGTTGTCATTTAGACGATAATTTTCTTGCTAACGGTGGGTTCTGTAGCGAGTAATCGGTAAAAGGTCGTAAAAGTAAACAAAATGGACTAAACGTTTAATACGCATCCCTTTCATTTTTAAATTTCCCCGTGAACTGTGGATCATGCTAGAAGCTATATCAGTCTTTCAAAGGAGCGTTAAGGTCGAAGACGGTTAGGAAATAGAAAAAAAGAGCAAAACAAACAACCGACGACAGTATCAATTCTAACGCGCATCGTTTTCTTGACCTACATCAAGGCATGTTTGGAAATCTAGAGAAACACTCCCTCTGATGTTCGATGTATTGTTCAGTTAATAACTTCGTTTGATATATTGTGATAACGATGGCTTTTCCACTTTTCACAGCCTCAAGAAGCGGGCCATTCCCAGGAAAGGAAAATAAAAGAGTGGAAAATGTTCAAAGAAGCTGTAAAAACCCACAAGGACAAGAAGATGGGTGCCATTCGTGCGTTTGAAACTCAGGAAAGAAAACCGAAAGGAATTTTGCAACATTTGGATGTCGCAAGAACGCAACATGAATAAACTTGCTTGCATTTCAAGCATACGGTGTTTTCATCCCTTTGAAGAAGTCTGTCCGTGCTGGCTGTAATATGCTAGAAGCTAGTCTGAGAAAGTGGCGACGCTACCACTGGTTTCGCCGCGAAATTACGTCTGAGAAATGAGCGCAGAAATTCCATACTGATGACGTTAACTACCAAGATCTGGGTAGTACTTTTGATTGGTTAAAACAAATTTCCCACGCGGCACGACCAATCAGAAGCACTACCCAGATCTGAGTAGTAAAGGTCATCAGAATGGAATTTCTGCGCTTGTTTCTCAGACGTCATTTTGCGGGGAAACCAGTAGTGACGTCGTGAAATGTCGGCTGTTTTCTCATGCTCGCTAGGAGTGCGCCGACGTTATTTTCGGTTGGAGAAAGCTGTCAGTGATGATTGTAGTCTGTTTTACACGATATACGTATCGGGTAGACTATTTTTTCAGGAAGAGAACAGAAATATTGTTTTTAACTTTGAGTGCGTTAGAAATTTACTTAAATTCCTTCTCGTGCCCCCTCAAGTAAAAATTGCTTGGTAATCTAAATTTGTTGTCAGTGTCCTTTGTGATATAGTGAAAGAACAAATGAACAAATTCAGGCCTCAATATCAGAAAGTCAATCTTGATTAGAGAATAGGAGAAATGCTAGTGAGTACCTCCTTCATAAGTTAATGGTAAGCAAAGGCCTCGAGGAAACGTCGAAATCGTCCTTGGCAACGCGACGCCTGCTTTGTCATTTTGGAGCCAATAAATTCAAGAGAGCGGTAGAGGGTAAAATAGAAACTAAAGCGAAAGACCCACCGAACAATATGTTTATGCTTGTTGGTTTTGAGATAAAATATGATGTATGTGTTGTGAAGTATTTTGAAAGTTATTTTTAAGACGGATTTGTCTCATCTTTTAAGTTTAGTTTTTGTTTCATAAGTGGGTCAAGGTTAGTCTTGATTTTGTCCGCATGGGTGTTTCCCTGATTTCATCTTTCGTTTTTACTTGTACTTGAATTTTTGCTTAGCTCGCGAATAGACCCTTTGCAGCTAGCCATTCACGTGGTACAAAACCGCCATGCAGGAGAGCAAAAGTCGCACTGGGACAAGACAAACAAAAGACATACATAATTTTAAATGGCAATTTCCTTTGTTTGTCTTGTCCCAGTGCGACATTTGTTCCCCAGCACGGTAGTTTTACACCACGTGAATGGCTAGCTGCAAATGGCCTATTTGATTAATGCCATTTTAGGAATATCCTTCGCTTGCCATTGTCAGATGTTAGTTTTTCATAGGTGGTCTTTATTGTGATGTTAGAACTGACCTTGGTTCAGTACCTGTTTGGGTTTGTTAACCAGCGTTTTTCATTGGTTTGTAGCTTCTTGCCCATCGCAACCATGCGGGTTCACCCACACCGAGTTCACCGTAATTTTATTCCCACGGTCAGTTAACCCAAACATGCCCAGCTTTGGCTATAAAAACCGCTACTACTCTTGAAGTAGTTAAAAAAGTTAGAAGAGTAAGAAGATAAAAGTCAGGAGAGTTAGCAGAAGTCAAAGAAGAATAAAGACCAAGATGCAGTAAATCAGATTCCTGGTAAAGTTTAATTATACTCGAACAGTTTAATATGAAGAACGTGGAAGACAGACCAGCAAGAATTACTAACCATTCCAAAACGTTGATAGACCTCATTGTCACGAATAGAAAAGATCTGGTCAAACAAAAGGGCACATGTGCCCTGGGTATCTCAGATCACGACATGATTTATGCAGCCTTATCAGCCAGTATCCCGAGAGATCCGCATAAAATAAATATCATCAGGAACTTCAACAAATTCAGCGAAAGGAACTTTCAAAGTGACATTGCCCGTGCGCCTTTTCAAGTCTGCGAAGTTTTTGATGATCCCACTGATGTTTATTACGCATGGAACCTGCTCTTCACAGAATTATGCAAAGAACACGCATCAATTAAACAAATTAAAGTACCCAGTAACAGCCTGCCTTGGATAACAAAGGAAATCAGAATAACCATGAATCAAAGATATAAGACTCTGAAAAGGCCGCGTCAGCTAAATGATCCACTGCTATGGGATAACTATAAAAGACTTAGAAATAAAGTATCAACAATGACAAAAAAAAGCCAAAGCCGATTACTACTCCAATTTATTCGTTGAAGTAAAATCCGCTGCTGCTTACTGAAAAAGACATCAGGAACATCAAAAGTAAACAGACAAGCCCAACAATTAAAGAAGGACGATGGAACCCTTACAACAGATGACACTGAAAAGGCAACTATGTTAAACGACTACTTCTGCACAGTTGCTGAAAAATTGATTGGCCCCGCGGATGAAATTTAGCCAATAAAGAGTTTTAGATCCGAGTTTACCGCGAACCTCTAACCGCTGGCGGTCACGTGACAAGTCTTTCGCGTCACGTTTGAGGTTTACGACGGGCGTTTTCAACGTGGGCAGGTAGGTTTTCACGTATGTCATTTACCTGGAAGCTTTTAGCGTATAATTCTTGTTTCATCCCACGTAATGATACAAAAATCTCGTGGAGCAAGTCTTTATCCATCAACAGAAGCACAAATTCGGGCGAAATGCTAAATTTTATAAATCCTATTGGATCTTGAAAACAAGTGCCATTCATGGCCGCTGATTCAAAATGGCGGCCGTAATATAATCCACCGCCAATCTAAATCCAATTATGTTTGAACGTCGAACCGCAAACGGGTAACCGCAATCTGCGGTTAGAGGTTCGCGGTAAACTCGGATCTAAAACTCTCTATTACACGCTCATAGCCGTGAGAATGTGGATACGCCGACTATGACCAGCATCATGATTAGTCAGAAGGAAATCGAGGAAAAGATCTGTAAGTTAGAAGTGAAGAAAGCTTCGGGGCCAGATGGCGTATCTGCGAGTCTTTTAAAGTAGGTTGGTATGTCTGATGCCCCATTTCTCACGAGCGTGTTTAAACAGAGTGTTGAGGCCTGCAAGCCACCAGACCAGTGGAAAATAGCTAGAGTCAGTGCAGCGTTCAAAGAGGGATGAGAGGAAGACAGAACATATCATGTTACAGACCACTGCCTATGCTCAGTATACCAAGAAAATGAATGGAATCTAGCCTCCCGGCAGACGTCCTTTGGGGTTCGTTCGTCACGCATGGAGAAATGAATGCGTGACCAACGAATCCCAAAGGACGTCTGCGGGGAGGCTAATTGGAATCCTGCGTCGCAAGTAATATCACTAATGACGTGGTTACGCAAAATTTACTTGACAACAGACAATGGGCTTAGAGAAAAGGAAAGTCAACAGAACAGCTTTTAACACACCTAACTGAGAGGTGGAGAGAAGCAGCAGAAAGAAAGCTTTTGTGGGAATACTGTTTGTGGATTTCACTAGAGCTTTTGACACAGTGTCGCACAATATATTACTACAAAAGCTGAACGACCTTAGAATCAGAGGAGATATCTGGCTGTGATTAAAGAACTACCTTACAGAACGAAGACAATTTGTCAGAATCAACGGATGCGACTCCGATACACACAATACAACTCACGGAGTGCCGCTAGGGTCAGTCCTCGGACCCACGTTATTCTTGCTCTTCACAAACGACCTCCCAAAATCACTACGCTGTCCGGAAACTTATCTGTACTCAGACGAGACATTTGCTAACCGGCAAACACACTAAACAATGTTCTAGCTGAACTCCAGGAATGGTGCTACAGAAATTCGATGGTACCACTCCCAGAAAAATGTAAAGCAATGATCATGCGGCGGAAATCAACATTTACTGGCCCTATCCAAGCTCTTCGTCTTGGGAACAACATCATAAAGTGGACAACCTCAGAAAGACTCCTCGGAGTACAAGTTGTCCTGGTCAGATCATGCTGCAAATGTAGCGAAGTCCTTCACATCCAAGTTAAGTCTACTCCAACGCATGAGATTCCTCCCTCAGAAGCAATTAGGAGATTTCTACACAAAAGTGATACTGCCATCAGTTACATACGGTCTGACAGTGTGGGGATCGTGCAAGAACACGCACCTAAAAAACCTGGAAAACCTCCATGCAAGGGCTGGACGGATTGCATATGGGCTGCCATGGAACACTAGCGCTGAAGATGTCTTAAAGCGAACTGGATGGGACAGTTTGGAAACAATGTACAAAGTGCGATTAATGGAGTTTGTCCTCAAGTGTTTAAAAGATCACAGCGTCACGGAATTTAATGATTTGTTTTTACAGAGGAATTCAGGCCGCAGAAGAAATGAGAATATCATTCTCCCAAGACCAGAAACGAATTTTATCAGAAACTCCATACGCTTTAGAGGAGCAATCGCATGGAACACTTTAACGAACAAGCAGACAGGGGCCAAAACCTTGAAAGAATTTAAACGCTGTCTTGCAAAATTGGATACTGATAAAATGAATTTCGAACCTATTTTAGCTACAACTAAAAATAGAGATATCGGTTACGAATACCTTTAACAGTTTTAATTTTCAATTGTACATTTACACAACCTATTTTAGCTACAACTAAAAACTGAAATATCGGTTACAAACATTTTTAACAGTTTTTAATTTTTAATTGTACATTTGCTTTCAGTACTCCTTATTTTTTTGGTAATTGTTGTACGCATGACCCCACCAGCAATGCTGATCTTTTTATCGTGCTAAAATAAAGTTCTTATCGTATCTATCTAATCTATCTCATTGTGCAGCGAGCGAGTCGCCGTAACACACCCCCACATATATTACCCTACTATTGGAAAGTTAAACAAGACGCTATGGGAGCGTATATTTGCACGCCGTTGTACTGGACGGTTGTCATACATTTGCTTATGGACTCTCACAAGATAAGGGCCTAGGTTTCTTATCAAATATTATGCGTGTAAAAAGCTTCTTTATAAACATCGATAAGTAAACCATGACCTTGTTTTCTATCAATCGCACAGGGTCCAGATGAGTTTTGTGTGAATAAATGAATTACTTATTTAACGTCTCACCTTGAAAAATGTATATCCTTGTCGCTTAGGACGATTAATTAGCCCAATGGGATCTTTATGAATCTACTGTAAACGATTTCTTCCCTTCTTATCTGACCCAGATCGACTTTGTTGTTCGCCATTTTGAAAATCAATAACCGCAAGCCATATCCTCGCTGAGGCACAGAACGTGTGCCGAAGGGCTACCGAGGCTGTAAGCCGATCTCGCGAGCCCTCAGTCTCTTCGTTTGCGGTATATAGAATGTGTAAGGAAACTGTAACGCAATCAAAATAACCCATTTTTTCAGAGGTTTTCGACAGGTTTTGATGTTCTAACGACAAACACATCGTTCTCCTCTGGACCCTGTATCAATCGTATTTAACACATGTATTAAAACATTTTGTAACACTAATAAAAATTATAAATTTTAAACTGAAAGGGCAAAATATTACTTAACAGCTCGTTAAAGTTTAAAAGGTTTTTCTCAACAACAATATTTCAACACTACGCCTACAGTTTGTATTATTGCCTTTATAGTCTGGGTTTCGCACATATACAGTGGAACCTCGATATAACGAACCTCTATACAACGAAGTCCTCTGCGTTACGAACGATTTTCTTTACCCCGGTAATAGTAAAATATATGAAAAAAAACCTCGATATAACGAAACCTCGGTATAGCGAACAAATTTTGCCGGTCCCTTGGCCCTTCGTTATATCGAGGTTCCACTTTAACTGACCGGTTATTTAAACGTTCTAAACTTGGGGAGCACAAAAATTTCTTGTGAACTAATAAGTAAGTTTCTATCCACAAACATTACTTGCTGTTCTTAATAGAATACTAGTATAGGCTTCAACTTGGCACTACATGATCAATTTTAGATATTTACTTT